CAAAGCCGATTGGACGTGTTGAGCTTATTCCCCCGGAAGAGCGGGAGAAATCAGCCGAAGGCCCGTTCGCCGGATTGGAAAACCTTGTTGTAAATAAGGAAGGCCTCGTCGAAGATGACGATGGCAATGTCGTCGGCAAGGTCATTGAGGGCGACATCAAGAACTTGCGTGGACGTGCCGTTGATGAGGATGGAGAGATCATCGACAAGTACGGCAACGTCAAGGGCCGTGCAGAGCCGTATGAAGTGGAAGAGCCGGAGGAGGAGGCACCGGACTTGTCGATCTTGGAAGGAAAGACTGTCAACAAGGCTGGCAACGTTGTGGATGCCCAGGGTAACGTCTTCGGACGGATTACCTCTGGTGACAAGCGCCTTGCTGGACGGAAGGTTGATGGCAAGGGTCAGATCTGGGGTGATAACGGCAAAGTAATTGGCACGGCTGAGCTCATCCCAGGAGCCGAGGAGCAGAAGCCCGAAGGCGCCTTCTACGGATTTGAGAATCCCGTGGTCGGCAAGGACGGCGTTATCACTGATGCCTCGGGTCAGATAATTGGCCGGATTGTTGAAGGTGATGCGCAGCGTCTCCAGGGCCGCCAGGTTGACGAGGATGGCGATGTCTTGGACAAGAACGGTAACACTATCGGCCGTGCTGAGCGCTGGCAGCCCGAGGAGAAGCCGCGTGATGTTAACCCGATGTCGGGCCGTAAGGTCAACCGTGAGGGTGAGGTGCGCGATGCTGATGGTAATCTCATTGGCAAGCTGACCTCTGGCAACCTGCCATCTCTCATCGGCAAGGAGATCGACGATAACGGATACGTGGTGGACAATGATGGTAACAAGATCGGGGAATGCACTTTGATTGAGAACATTCCCGAACCCGAACCCGAGCCGGAGGAGCCTGAGGAGGAGCCCCAGGAGCCAGAGATCTCCCCTGAGGAGCAGGAAGCTCAGCGGAAGATAGAGGAAGACAAGCAGTTGGCCAAGAAGATGAGCGGTATTATTGCTCAGACACTGGACCGTATTCGTCCTGTCTGCAAGATGATCTCTGAGGTATGTTCAGCTACTTTTGATCACTGACATTACTAACCCTTTGATAGCACATCGAGAAGGCAGACCGCACGCCCAAGGACGAACTTGACGAGGAGCAGCTGGTCAAGGATGTGAAGCCGCTCCTTGAAGAGGGCAACCAAATTCTGCAGGAATGCAATGGGGCCATCCGCGCTCTCGACCCGGATGGTCATGTCGCCGCCACGGCCAAGGCCCGTGCTGCTTCTCACGAAGCTTCTTCAGAGGAGTACGCCTTGGCTGAGCAGCTCAAGGAGCTCACCGATCTGGTTGTGAAGACCATTGACAACGGCAAGAAGAGGATCGCAGGCATGCCTCATGCCAAGAAGAAGCTCAACCCTCTGTGGGCACTGCTCAGCGAGCCCCTCGGCCAGATTATCACTGCCGTTGGCCTGCTGTTGAATGGTGTCCTCGGACTGGTCGGCCGGTTGTTGCAAGGTCTTGGTCTAGGTCCCCTGGTGAATGGATTGCTGGGCGGACTGGGACTGGATAAGTTGCTTGGCAGTCTGGGATTGACTTCCCTGACGGATTCCCTGGGCTTGACTGGAAAGAAGAAATAATTGAATAGGCGATGGGATGTATGCTTGTGATATTATTCTTCTTGATTCAATATTTGCCATTGATGTCAGATTGACGATAATAATTTTCACCATGTCGATAGCTAGTTAATTAATTAGTGCTTCACCTTATCAACTCTATTCCATATCTTCATTCATAGTAGTCGGAATGTACCCACTAGTATGCACTGCCTCCGAAAGACAGACTATATATTCCTACCCTCCCTCCTTACGCCCAGTTCTTCTTCATCCCCTACACTCCCTAGGCTTTCAGCGCTCTATATATAATCTTCCATATACCCTATTTACCTGCTATCTTAATGCCTCAAAGATAGTACTAGGTCACCATATCTACATTACCTATATTACACACATATACCACTACCCTCACAAAGAGGAAACTGTAACGCTTGTGGATGCATCAAGGTTCCATATTCCTCCCATAAACTCAAGCCCAACAGTCACCACAACACTCGTGGCAAAGTCAGCATCAGAGCCAGAGAAGGTAAAATAGAATTACAAGAAGAAGGCTTTCTTCTCATGCCTCCTCTACATCATCGACAGATACCAAATCCCGCGATGATTGCCGAAGGAGAACCTTGATGAGATAAACGTTCCAGACACATCGGTGTTCCATTAAGATACTAAGCACTGAAATGGATGACTCCAAACATGTCTGCGGTTTATGAAGAACCGACTACAAAAGGGAATGTAAGCCAAGAGCCTAACGGGCATTGTGGTCGCTGCCAAACATGAGAAACTCTCTGTGACAGAGGAAGACTACAATGCGTACAAGGCTGAGTTTGACCTAGTGGCTACAGAAGCGCCTTAGAATATCGATAATGCTATTGGAGCCTTTGCCCCATTCTGCCTGGCAATATATGCTTCTAGTATATATAACTACCGGCATGACAGATAAAGTGATCATCGTCTTGTCAAAAATTGAATGACGAGAAATACCTGAGATCGCTTGAAGTCTCACGAATTCGTGGGACCAGAAAAATGCAGAGACACATTGTGTCTTGCTCATAGGATGGAGCATGCGCCAATTGCAAAACCCGGTCTGGGTTTGATAATTAGTATAGTAAGTTCACTATATGCAGCTCAGGCTTGGTTGCTAATGTCCGTAGTTTAGGGCTTTGGATGAGACGTCCACCGCTGTAGTACAAACTACGATCAATTTTGAGCCCGAGTATGTCCGGTGCCAAACGCTCGCTTTGTTGTATTTGGAAGACATATGCAAGCGGCAGATACGTGGAATCCTATCCAATAGACGGTGTTAAGCTTCTACTATGAGACTGGGGTTAGTATTCTCAACAACCAAGTTTCAAATATTTGACCATCTCAGCTTACGCTATCTCTGACCTGAGTTACCTCGAGTATAAGCCCACAACGATCTCTATGTCAGATAACCTGATCTAGCTGCTTATGCAAATGTTAAAGAGCCATACTCATCTTGCAGGGAGTCGTTAACATCGTGCATAACATGTCTATTGCGGTTGGAGAAGATAAAGACGATGGTTGCGCGGACTCAGAATGATGCTCCGTGGACTTTCACTTGGCTGAACCGACAGGCGCGGGTCGCCTCGATATATGATCTACGTTGCTCACATTCAGCTGGAGAGGTTGCGATATACAGCCGAAAGTGTTTTTCTCTATTAATCATATTGCCTGTGTCATGGTTTGACCGGTAAGCTTTAAAGTGCACAGTCTGTGTCATCGGAAAATTTCCAGTTTAATTTCCAACACCCGCATTATAACTTGTTGAACGTTATCAAACAGAATGACAGATACGTTTAGACCACGGGCAAAGTTGCGGACCAACTGAAATGAAGCGACTTTATATATTAATATCTAGCTTTGACCAAGGGTTGCGCATTAGATGCTGGGGATAGGGATATGAATGGACAGGGAGTGGGGATAGCGTAAGGTTGCATGATTCACTTGCAACTTCTGTCAGGGTGTCCTTTCCACATGCAACAAAAGATCCTGAAATGATCCCGTCAAAGAGATCGTTTTTATATATACATGACGCTTTTAAAAGCAGCAATCTTGCAATAAGGAAATGTGTCAGACACATATTTTCTCTTGATCTGTCGCGGGTATGAGTCATATGCGTGGAGGACGCCAGATGGCCATGTTGCTATTTGAGAATGCTCTACTTGAGAAAGGCCAATACAGTATTGTCTGCCACCGGAGAGGCTCATAGATCTCATTCAATGTTCGTCCTTTTCAGTCCAAGAAAGCTGGCGGGTTAGTGTCCTTTATCGACGAGGAAGGCTGAAAGAGCAACAACACACCTATATTAAGGCAATACTACATGGAGAGTTAAACCACCTATAAACCAGACAAGCTTGCAGTTGAACAACAATGTTCGAATGCCTTATTATCACGGTCAGGCTTACAGATTTACTCGACAACAGCGGTGCAGGAAGTGATACGCACTGTTGGGATCATCCTTAATTTTACCGGAAATCGACTATATATCAACCCGCAGTGACAACCCAGACGTTATACCTAAAGCAGAAGAAGGTGAAGAAGAAGTGCGTTCTCTCATTACTGACTATATGTCTTGGACTCTAAAAGAACATGACCAACCAATGGACCCAATACGAAAGCAAATAACTATGCAAGCCGTACAGCTGTGCGCGAGATGACGACTGATCAAATGAACCATGGCACCAGAAGAGCTCAAGATGAATGTTTGCATGCAAACACATCACTATGGATATAGAGGCGACATACCGAGGAAAAGACAGTGTCTAAGTCTTCTTCCAATCAGGACTCCATGCTGAATCACGTTTCAAGGAAACGACTGTTTCTACAGTGATACCCTTCATATTGATAATGGGATACTGTACCTTGAAATAAAGTTTATGATTATTGCCAGCACCGTCTCAACATAGCGAAGACAATATCTGCTCTGAAGCATTGCCAGAGCAAGCTGACTGTTTTGCAAACTCAACTTCAACATCCGACTCAACGACCACAGAAGGTGTCATGGCATCGCTGGTTCTAACATTCCAACATACACAGTGCGTTGGGATCTGTTTGTCTTCTCACACGAAAGATATCATTGAGACCTACACCACTTGCTCTAGATCTGTCTGCTCGCAGAAGCCATCTGCTTCCGTTTTCAGGCAACTGTATTGAATGAGCTATGTTATATTTCCTCAATGATTGCTCTATGACAACAGTGATACGTTGTGAGCACCATGCTTGAGGATCAGGATTAGAAAGAAAACATTAGTGGCGATTTCCATTCTAACCATCGATACTCCAAGGGCTACAACATACCTGGAATTTACTCGATCAATTTATCCGAGAATTAAGAATGCCGTCCTCATCTGTTGGGCCTCTTTCCTGTTTTGCAGCCGCAATGTCATCTCCTGCGAACACCACCAATGCTTCTGATGCCGACGAGGCTACCTCCAATAACAATGAGACTACTGAGCCCCTCAGCGTGACCTTTGCAGGCGTACAAGCGTTCTGACTGAACACAGCCTCCCACTCAATATCGGAAGGGACGATCTTCTCGACCTCATGCCATTGACATTGGCTGACCTTCGTGACAACATACTCTTGGAATACGGTGCCCAGCGTACTCGTGTGGCTCCCGCTGCTTTGGCAAGATCATTTGAAGTCTATGTTCGTGATCTTCTGCGTCTGATTGACGACGCACTCACTGCTCTTGGGTTGATCGTTCTTTTCTTATTGCTACATTATCTAATCTTATCCAGTGTCTTTCATATATCACCCCTCTTCATTCGTAATCATGAGATGATGCACGCTAATTATCTAGTTTCATCGCAACAACACCCAGAGCAGGGCCGGCTATTTCAACCAAGGTATGAAGATGAAGAGGCCGTCTGAATCTTCCAGGCGGACTTTGAGGACGGCAATACGAGATCAAATTTTGGGCGAAAGGATTAGACTTCCTGGCTTGTCCATACCCTTTGTCATTTACTCATATAGTCTGTATATGCAGGATTCTATCCATTCTCTCACTCCACTATCTTTGTGGATCTCTTATTCCCCCCCGAACTTTTCCTATCTTGGAGCATCTGCGGGAACTCAAGTTCTCTACAAATATCAAATCCCGTCCTCTCCAAGAGTCACCGCTGTCCCATGTTCAATACTATCTCACTAAGTTGAGATCCCGCTACAGTGATCAGACATAACTATATTCGTTAACCACCGTTATTATCAAGCTCAACTCGGCGGTTACACTGAACCCTGGTTCGTGGTAGGAGTGCTATACGAGGGTGGATGAGAAGGCGATTACCAGCCTTTATGAGCACAAAAGTGATAGTAACTGATCCCTATGAAAAAATTCGAGTTGGGAAGATACAGTTGGACAAGAGCATGATGTAGTCCTGCTCTCCTCGATTGTCACACGGCTGACAGATATGAACTGTCGTACATGCGAACAATAATATTCCCATTGATACAATCCAGCCAACAACGGAGTCAGCCAGATTTTGGAGGCAATAAGTTATTTGGTTTTATTTCCAAGAGGTCGAGTGGTCCGATGGTCTGGCAGACACTTGGGATATCACATCATTATCTTGTGTGTCGATGTGTGCGAACCTTAAAGGTCTAACCATTTAAGCATGGATACATACCAGATTTAACAGCACGACATTGCTGCTGTTGGATACGGGAGACAATTATTACTCTTTACAAATCAGAGGTATCTGTTGAAGAAAGCCAAGGCCACTGCCATACACTTGGGCATCAAATTGGATAGCTCATCACATGAATCCCCTAAGCAATCCTACAAATAGAACACATTTACAGGAACTACAAGATGGCTGGCAAAAGAAAAAAGACCCCAGCGACCTGTCTGAGGAATAAACGGAAACATGGACCTGTTGAAGAGAGCATTTATTTGAAGTCTCCCGAGTATCATAACCTCGGTGACAATCCAGGGCGGTAGATGAGGCATAAGATGCACTTACAGATCCACATAACAACAGCGGCATATGTTTCAGAATCTTGCGCGTCCTCTGTTTACTGCCCTCACACAGGATGTTTCATATACACCGCTAGAGACCAGCCGTTACTCTTGCAGCGGTGAGGTCCTCAAGACTGGGCCCTCGCTCCTGATATATTTTATCAGAACCCGAATTATATTTCCAGATCATCCTGCGGATTCGAAACCTTGCATGAAATTGAGGGACCTTACCGTACCCATCAGCAATGCATATCGTCTGCGGCTGGCCCTATTTTGGGACAGGACTGGAACTATAGGGAATAATTCATTCATTTATCATCAAAAAGCGGCCACCTGCAACGCTTTTCTGACTACTCACTACTGGGTCCCAAGAATAGATATAATTTTCGCCTCATCCTGGGAGACACAGGTTACGTTATCTGCTTGGCGGAGAACAAGGTTCCTAATTCTACATGGGAGGTAGCAAAGAATGGGAACTTGGTGTTGTTGTCCGGTACTGACAGCATTGAGTAAGTGGTTCGCGCAGAATACCCGCATGACGAACAACACGATTCATACAAACACAAGAAGTCAACCAGAGAAAACAACCGAAGCTCTGGTACATTGAACAGCCCCCCAAGTAGTTGGGCTTTGGATGAGCTCAGGCGGCATAATGACGAGACAATATTCTTCAAACAGGATTGGGCCTGAGGCTAACAGTAAACCCTGAAATCTTGCTTTGAATATTCTCAAACACGTAGTCGTATGGTTCGACCCTGGCTTCAGATATCTTGCTCAAGATTAGGTATATTACAAACACGTCGCCGACCTGGATATCGTTCCCGCTCCAAGGTGGAGAAATTCAGCGATGAGTGGGCTGAGAAAACGCTGGCTTGTCCTTCGATACGGGCTGGGCATGATTGGCATCATGAAATCAACAACGGCTAGTGAGTGGTAATATGACCTAGTTCCCGGGCTTGGATCAACGCATGATTAAGCGAGCGTGTTGCGATACTCCAAGAAAGGAGTGTCCTTTCTATAGAGCAGGTCTATTTATGACCAAGGCTAGCGTCGCGGACGCCAGCAGCGTCGTGAAGGTGAAGATGAACATTCGAGCACATATGCAAAACGACCGTAGCCAGCCTCCCGTTCAGTTTCTCCTAATGGGGAGGGGGAGGAGGACGACAATGCTATTGATGAGTTAGCCGATCTTCAGGACAAACTTGTAGGAATGGCAGCAGGGGATCGTTCGAAAGAGTGGCGAAAGTCCAGAACCTATCAGTCAGGGATGACAGGGTATTTCGATCGATTCATTGCTGACGAAGCACACTATGTCATGTCAATATGAAGCCGCAATCACCCTGCATGGTACGCCCCTCGGGCTTCGATTTCCCTTTTTCATAATTGAAGTAAAGTATGCTGCTGCAACTGGAGGAAATCTATACCAAGCACAAAACCAAGCGGCAGCCAGCGGTTCAGTGGCACTTCGGATTTTTGGAGCCCTCTCTGATCTGTCTAGTCACTGGTCCTTCTAGACGTGAAATTCAAATGAATTCTGAATGCGACGCCCATGTGAAACAGGGCGATTGATTTGGGCGAGTCCCTGTCATAGGATATGCTACTATAGGAGGCGGCGGTTTATCTTGAATAGAGATGACCTTGGAAACCTAGGTTATTGGGCAGTTATACTGAAGAGATGTATTATTTTTCAACTGATTTAATGATCTATTTAGATACTCCGGTCCACATTTATGAGAACATTGTGAGATACCCTGACTCCCATTGGAGTCTATACTTATTCACCCTATACTTGCCGTGTCACGTAAATATTTGATTCCCAGTAAATACCCAGGAGATTAAAGCCAAACGAATGTATGGTAGCTGTCAACCGTTAACGCCGTATCGCGCCACCCGTCCGAATCTATATGTAAAATCATGCAATATTCATTATTCGTTTCAGGTCGTGAAGTGAAAGAGGTTTCACCAAGTAGTCATCAATGCCTGCTGCAAAGGCCTGCTGTTGCATCTCGCTCGAGGCTACGCCGGTAACCGCCATGATGGCCGCTCGTGGGAGCGAATGTTGTTCTTCGTATTCGCGGATCTTACTCGAGGAGACGATTCCGTCCATAATTGGCATTGAGATATCTGCACAATTAGTAAGCGATGCCGAGCGAATAAGAGGTAATGTACGTACCCATGAGGATGTAGTCGAAAGGCTTTGTAGAACTTTTGTACTTTTCTAATGCAGCTAGGCCGTTGGATGCTGTTTCGTAACTGCAGCCGATCTTTCGTAGGAAGGTGGCGAGGATCTGGACATGTTAGTGCTTATTGTAGACAGCTAATGGAGTGTGCATACCTTAAGGTTGATATCATTGTCATCCACAATCAAGACGTGGAGGTTCTTGCTAATCGATTCTCGCGGAGGCGATGGGGCGAATTCAGACACGTTTTCTCGAACCACGGGTGGCGATTCCGTGCCCTTCGCCATAGCAAATGCATCAGACAAGCTCCGGCCTCGGAGCGGGACACCGGAAAGGGGCCCTAAAATCGGACTTTCCGCATACGAAAGCCCTTGGTTCGAGTCTGTGATCCGCTGTAAAGCTTGCAAGATCTTGCGAGGTGCAATCCTGTTCAACATTAGCAGACAGCTTCAGAAATCATTTAGCAGACTTACGGCTGAGGAACATAGAAGACATCAGCTCCTTTGATGGCAAAATCTCCGGGGAGTGTGACGCCCTGTTCGCCAATGACCACAACAGCCTTGAAATTCACGTCGATGAACCCCCTTTCCGAGAGGGCTTTTAACGTAGATTCCTCGATGACGGCAATATCTCCGGATGCCTTGTCTAGGTGATCGGCGAAAGATACCATCCACCCAGGCTGGCTCAGTAACACATTGCTGAGTGCGCCTCTTAGCGACAGCTTACGCTTCGCTTCTGTGCTCAAAAGACCACTTGGTGCTTCTTTGAGGTCTGCGTATGCATTGAGGCCCACCAAAGACACCCGGGTCATTGTCCGCGTTCCCGGGGCACCACAATCCATTGCGGAGGAGTCTTCCACGAACTCCACCGGAATGTACACGTCCATTTGCGTACCAGCCCCTACATCACTCTTTACCTCCACTTCGCCGCCCAGGTATGTCACCAGCTGTTTCACTACACTCAGACCCAATCCAACACCCTCTGTCAAAATGCTCTCCTGCGCAAATGGTTTGAAGAGGTGGTGTTCAAGGAAGTCTGGCGAGATCCCGCAGCCAGTATCCGTAATTGACAGGTGGGCTAGAGTCTTCTTCGTGTAGCCGGACCTTTCCACCTTCTTCGCCAGGGAAACTTCAATGAAGCCGGTTCTCGTGAATTTGAATGCATTCCCCAGGATGTTCATGATGATCCGCCTCCATGCACCAGAGAGTGACTGCAGGTGCCATGAGCCCAAGTCTTCAATCCGAAGGATCACCGACAGATCATCGGTTTGCGATTGTGGTGCACCAGCAGGCCTGTTACCTACGGCAGATCCACCTGGTAGGTAGCGACTGGCCACCTTCGCAGCCTTGATGAGAGACCGGTGGCCTGCGTACAAGGCATCAGTCACGTCTTCCACAATTTCGTCCAAGTCAAATTCGGTCAACAGATTATCCATCCCTTCACCATTTGAACCGCCTCTTTTGCGCAGATGGGTCAGGTTATTGATTTTCGTAAACTCGAGCCTGCCGAGAATTAGTAAACATCATATAACGGAAGGAGGCGAGCTTACAGGTGATTCATCGTGTCCAATAGCGTGAGACCACATGTTTCTACCATGGCGACCATGTCTTGTTGAGCGGTGTCCAAAGACGTGGTTTGCAGAAGCTCTGTGCTGGCAAGCATGCCATGCAACGGGGAGCGAAGCTCATGACTAACAGATGCCAGCAAGTCTGACTTTGACTTCTCTGTAGCCGTCCATTCTATCTGGCAGAACCCAGAAACAATTGTATCCCCGAAGGACCTGAGAAAGTGCAGATCATCCTTCCCGAGCTGCCGCTGGTCATCGCAGGTCCAAACAAGTGTTCCTGCAAGCCAGCGAGATTTGTTCCAGTTCCACAGCGGAAGAAAGATCATAGACTTGGCCTCCGGATAATTGTGTGCCAATCGGGTGCTGATAGAGTGCCGCAGAGGGATCTCACCCTGGTTGCTTTGTATACTTTGCCTGCGCTGATGCAACGAACTCAGGGCTGGCCAGCCGGAAGCCAGATGTGGGTGGATTATTTCGCCTTGCGGAAAGGCAGTGAACATGTCATGTAGCAGACCTTCTGTCAAAGGAATTCTAAACATGCTGGCGGTGTTTCCAAGGGCACGCTCAGACGAGGCTACCCCAAGAGGTTCACACTGCTTTTCAGACCAGCCACCATAGGACGATACACTAGGTGAGCGGAGAGAAAACCCGGAGTCACTTTCCTTGTCCCACTCCCCAACACTGGCGGTCGATTCACTGTGTCACCGTTAGCGACATTAAATAGCTTTTAATAGAAGTGTCATAACACTTACCCCCGAGTGTTGCTGCGTGACGCGTCCACAAAGAGAACCCCATCTAAATCCATACATTCCTGCAGTAGCCCACTTGCACGAGAAAAGAGTATCGAAGCTTTGTCAGAAATGGGAGTGCTTTCTGGCACCATGACGAGGTTGCTCGTTTCATCGGAGCTTTTCCTCACATGTCGCTGATGTATCCCATTTGGCACTGAATTATTAGTTCCAAAGGCTGGTATCTGGAAGAAAGGGGATTCTGGAGGTTGTGGTGGCGGATGTCGCGTGGAAGATGGTGAGACATCGCGATGATCAGTTGTTGACACGGAGAGGCGGTCGATCTCTGGGACATCAGATGAACGAGGCGAATTTGGCACTTCCGATGAACGGGGCGATACAAGACTAGCCGCCGCCGTACTTTTCCTTCGGCTCTTCCATCCGTCGTTCTCAGTTGGCGACTGGCCTTTGACGAACCTTATGAGCCCACCCAGCAAACGGTCGTTTTGGCGATAACGCCGTATTGCCCCGACATTCTCAAGGTGACTCGCAACAGCGTTGGCAACATCCTGCAGTTCGGCCAAATCACCTGCACCAAAATGATAGCAAGGCTTATTGTTCACAACACAATATGTTCCAATTACTTCTCCACAGGATGCAGTCAATGGAACCTCCGCGTATAGCCTGGGTCGAAATCGTTCCACGAAAGGATGAGACACCAGATTTGCTTCCATACTAACATCACGAATGATGGTACTGAGGCCATCACTGATGATATTCGAAGAACGGGTGCCTTGAATTGCATTCTTTCCCAGACCTAGAGTGCTCATACCTATCGTATTACCGTTCAGGAATGTCTTGTTCCCGCACCGTGAGCCCGACGGCGTGGCTTCGGCGATAATATACGTCTCTGAGTTATCGACCAGCGAAACAAAGGCGATAGTACACCCTAGGCGGTAGGTCCCTAATTGTGCAAGAGCCACCAACGCGGGATCTGAGGCTGGGGTAGCCATCGTGGAGTGGTTATGTCCATTGACGGTCGAGCCTGGGAAGACTTTGTGCAGCAGCCCGTTGGCTTGATCCGGAGCCTGGGAGCTGTAAAACCTATTGCCATGATCAATGAGTGAGCAGTGCTTCTATTAAGACACAGCAGCGAATGCTGATGGGATGGATGCTTAGCGTGAAGTCGTACCTGAGAAGTTCCGCAGTCATCCGGGGCAGCTGCAGGGGACTAAGAGCTGCCGAACCCACAGCGTTTGGATGATCGCCTAGGACATTGCAAATGGCCGCGGATATTTGTTCAGGGCCAGGAGATGGTACGATTAACGGAAAGAACAAGCACCAGATATATTCCCAGATCTCTAGCCACGGCAGAGTTAGTCAGAGGCTTTAAGGTTTTATCATCCGGGCGCCACCGGTTTTGCAACAGATGCTGGCAAAGAGGGTGCTAGAGCTGACGAGAGCCGGCCAAGCGGTATGCATGCAGGTCTAGGCCACGGGCTTGATGTACACGATTTTCTTAGTGCACCGTAGCGATGGGCGACCCCGCCGGCTGATGGCCCCGACCCCGGATAAGGAGATCATCGCAAGGCTCTGCATGACCGGCCCTGCCGAATTCCGGGTACGACCGTGGCGTGTTCCATGGTTCGGCTATCCCAGCTCGCCTTACAGACATCGGCCGAATAGCTTCACATACGGCCGTGTCGTCGGCTCCGACGATTCCCTCGCTTAGGTATAGGGAAAACAGCGGGAAACACCGCCCACTGATGGTGGAAACGAGAAGATTCGATTGAAAAAGGATGTTTTGACGATGCATAAACACTGCCTTGCCGAGATCAATGAATAGGAGGAGAGTGGGATGAAGGCAAAGGTGAACGGGTCATTGATGTAACCCAACTCTATAGACTTGCGCGTGACGCGCCGCGATTCGTCCGGAGTTACTTTTCCCGGCGCCGCTTTCGGATCGTGTTTGCCTGAGGCAGGAACAGACCTGGACATGCCCTCGTCGGAGACCTTGATCGGGCTCGTAAGATCTCACAGTGTGTTGTGCATTTTGACACAGCGGAAAGACAATCGGCAGTTTTCCTAGCACCATCGTGTGGGTAATGCTTTCTTCACTCTTCCCGTATACCATTGGGCGGAAACTTACTCGTAGAGTAAGCAGGATGTGGCCGGAAGCTTAAAAGTTACTTAGGTGGCAGAGCCCCCTCCTTAGTCGATCTGTCCACTCAATTATCAAAGTCTAAGCCATGTCAAATACTATTACTCTTTTGGAAGTCTGCACGCAAAAGTAATTAAGATAAGATGGAAGATGCCACGAGTATGTACGACTCCAGCTCATGGAGCTACTGCAGGGACCCTCGGTGATCCACAAAGGGAAAGGATCGGTGGTCATTACTCATCGACTTGGGGCATGATTCATCCAGTCACGTGGCGGTCGTTGTCACATTCATCCAGAGTCGTCTCAACGGTCTAGATCTCTTCCCCACTGCCGAACAACCCTGAGACTACTAGGCAGAGCAAGTGCTAATGATTTTGTCTCAGGAAAGTCTCACTGTTGTACGTATTAGGGTAGCTAAAGGCGTCGAAACCGCTCGTTTATCTGACGGCGCATACATGGGGTATCACTGTTTTAAAGCTCGTATTCGGGATCGCGCCCTGCAAGGGGCACATGCCAGCAGCCAGTCAGATCTAGGCTCGTGTAGAGCAATAGGCCCGTGTGCTTACTCTGTCCTCGTCAAGATCAATGGCCCAAGTCCAAGTTCTAGACCCACCCGCCCACACATAGCTGGTGGTGTAACCTTGCAGACAATGATCAGTCAGACCCAGTCAGATGCCATCTGATCGTATGAATGTAATGGCGCCCAATTGTCCCCATATAAGAGCCCTCTGATTCCGTGGGGCGAGTGTCGTGCAAGACCATGACCAATGGAACTCAGTTACTAGAACAACGGAGGGTCTAGAGTCGGATTGATAGAAAAGAAAGCCTCAAGGTCCATTGTTGAGAAGTCAAAGTCCCAACCCATGTCGGACTGGGTAAAGTCGAGCAGGTCCTCTCCACTACCCAGGCTACCACTTGGCATGCGTAGGCCATCCTGCAAGGAGTTACCTTGAAAATCAGATAGCATAGAAAGACCTCCCCCGGCTAGGTCTGACTGCAGAGTGTCGGGAATTGGACCTTGGGGCTGATGAGCGACGCTGCTGGGGTAGCGTCGCACAGCACTAGCTTGGTCAATGTTATAGGAATTCCCTTTTAGCATTGCACCTGGCGACCATTCATACGATGGGTTAAGTTTTCTCAGGACGGTTTGTATAGCAGACATGGAGCTGGTAATCGGTTCACCATGCCGCATCGATGAAAGACTTTGCAAGGCGGCGTGTATCCAAGGAAGGTGGGTGGATGCCAAATTTTCTCCATGCATTAGATCATAAATTAGGGCGAAGCTAGAGCTGCCCAGAAAATATCCGTGGTAGCGGAGTTCCTGGAGCGTCATCAGCATCCGTTTCTATTCGGCAGAAGGAATGCGTCAAGACTCACCCGAACCAGTTCATTGTATATGGAAGCTTCGTATAAATGATGGATAGTCCTGCAAGCAGCACTGAGAGCTTGATTACAGGCTTCATTCAGCCATGTGGGGATTTCTGTTGGTCCCTTGGCCGTGCTGTTCCCTGGCTGTTGCGAGGATATCTTCATTTGGTGCTGCCACCGACCTCGAAAGATCAAGAATGGTCGAAAGGTCAATAGAATGGTATGATAATAGACTGAACCGTCAGCTTAGATCCCAGGTCCCAGATAATTTCGGAACATACGAGTTATTAGAACAGTCTGCCGTACGCCCAAGGTCCCCGGCTGAACCGGCTTATCAAGCCCAAACCCTAGTGCATGTTGCATTTTCGAGTCGTAACATCGCATATCATCGGTTATTGATTTAGCAATCTTCCACATCTGCAGTAATGATTCATGCCGTCGGCCATACATCTCATCGGCTGATCGGGAGAATACTTTCGATAGATGGACTAGCGCCTGCAAGAAGGGGTCCTTTGGTAGTGCAATTCCGATATCTTTTGCCGATAGGGATCTCGGTCGTCCAAGATGAAAACAAGTCCAGCTGTTCAAGAATCAGTATACCACATAATGATAAGCTGGGAGTGACCGACACTTCGTAGAAGTACAATGACCAGAACGTGCATCGTCGTTCCTCAACACTATCAGCATCGTCACTCTCGGCGGGAGCTTCTTTGTGCAGACCGGCAGAAATGGCCTTTCGGGCAGCTGCGCCCATTAGGAGAAATGCAGAGTTAGGTCTTCCTTGCTCATTCTGGAAATGGGCGTGCTGGCCAGAAGGTCAGTATTGTGTTGTTTGACATCTGAACAGGCGTTTACTTATCATGAACAGTGACAGTTGTACAGTCTGAAGGTTCACCACGTCGTCAAGAGAAGAGATAGACGCCTTTACACGCTCGTATAGGATATCTCCCCAGCTATGGTGCTGTGTTCCTAGCGAGCCGGTGGCTAGCCCCAGCAAAAGTAGTGATCGCGTCCATTTATCTGAGCGCGAATCTGGTGTTGGACGATACAAATGATCGAGTTGTTGATAGAAGACTTCCTTAGACCAAAACGGCACGAGGTGATACAACGTTGCCAAAAAGCGTTCCAGAAAGACCTTAGCCAAGTCGTAGGGTAGAAACAGCACATTTGCATCGGGTCCATTTAGGGTCTTGTTCGAATCATGCGACTCAGCCTGGGTTCCGAAGAAAATCCGACGGAAGCTAAACATGTCCAAGCCAGCTCCGGCTTCTTCAACTTCGCCCTGTGGCTCCTCCGTCTCCGCAGATTGGTTGCCGGAAACTAGGCCCCGGTAGACTTCGTGCATGAGTGCAAAGTGAGAAGTCGAGCCATAGTATAATTGAACTTTGCACGATGGCGATGCCATATGCGTGGCGGAAACGCTGTTGTTGAAGGTCAAACTGACGGAGGGATTTCTCCGTCGGGCTGGCTGCATCACCCCAGGAGACTGCTGCCGTGCGCCGTAGTCGGCCCGCGTGGCCCCATTCGAGATGTACTCATCATTCGCGGGAGCATCTGTATATTGGTGCTTCTTCTTGCGCTGTCGAATAACTTCGCGATAGATACATGGGGTATGGCGCAGTTCGCAGGTTTTGCACGGATTGACACCATTGCATTTGATCTTCCTCTTCCTGCACTCTTGGCACGCCTTGGGGATCCGCCAGCCTGAAGGCTGCGCTGGGGATATGGCGTCTGCCATTTGTAGCCGGCCAGCAAATTAGGGCGATAAGAGGCCCCGTTATACTCATAAAATCCGTTGCAAGGCCGTGTTGCTTCTCGGGTTTATTTTTCCTGATGTTCCTGCGTCATGGACTGTTGGAGCCCCGAGCGGTCGGATTTATCGCACGTGAGTTTATCCGTTATTCCGAACCCCATTTAGTTTAGTCTCTTTTCGCATTTGGCACCTGACTCTCGCATTTTATACCAGAATTTATCATAAACATTTATTGATTGCAAGTAACAATTCATCTATGCTGGAGAGGTCAGGACATTTTTGTTGAAGTTGTTTCTATCAACAACATAGGGCTACTAGTACTACTGCTACTGCTACTACCGGAAAATATATAGTATCAATTTGCCAAGTCCCCACCTTCCGTCCATCGATCGAACTGAATGATCTAATGTCTCCCACCTCATCACCACTCCGTATTCTAGTGATTGGCGAATCTTATACATTAAGCTCGAACGACTGTATCGAAGAATTATTCAGGCTGGTACATAACACTGTTAATATTAGGACACCTGCGAGCTGTTGTCGCCCGAATGTGAGCATTTCTTACAACAGCTAGTATTGCCACTTAAGTTCTTTCTAACAAGGAAAGCCCTTTAATACGATAGAACCACAGCGGTAATCGTTACACCAAGCCGGGAGATATTGTCTGGGAAAAGTCAAGATATGTTGTCGGTGACACATCGTCGGTGACATGATGCATTTCCGAGTGGAGTGCTAAGGACCGCCGGCGAATCTGAAGCCAGCCGATGATAGTTGGTGTTACAGCAGTTTCCTGTTCGAGAAATAGATCGACTATTACTGATACTGTGTAGTAAACATAGGCCCTAAAGAGTAAAGTCGGCTATTGAGCGGTAATTAGTGAGACAAAGAGGTGCCAAAAGACCCCCTGCGTCTCCCAATTAACCCCATCATTAATGTGGCAAATTCTCATTTCTAAGAGGATTCGGTGCAGCGACGTTGGATTTCAGGTGTCTCGGAACAGAATACGTGTTGATCATCATCATCTGCATTCTGGCTTATAGGCTACTTGAGCTTGCTAACATTGAAATGTTGACATACATACTGTAGACAAGTCAATTTCCAGACGCCTTTGTGTTTGCTTAATTTTACAGTAGCTCTACATTAGAACTTAATTCAGATATCCGTGCTTATCTTGTAATTTCGTTAGGTACCTTCTAGTATAATCATAAAGAAGACGGAGAATTCGAATCTAGGCCAATATCTGGAGACTCTACATCAGCTTCATATATTTCAATCATATTGTGAATCGATCATGATCCACGGGAAACAGCAAAGCATCAAATAGTGTACCTAAAAGCCTTGTCCTCAACATCCGTATGATCAGAGTCCACAGAAACCCCCATACGACCACTCCCATCGCCCCTATCAACGATATACTCAAAGTGCCCCTCGCTCGCTTTGCGATCACGCCTTCTGTTTAGCCTCTTCACCATGAACACATAAACGAAGAAGGTAAGAATTAAGCAAGCCATGGCCGCAATACTCAGAATACAACCCTTAGTATACCTAGGTGCATCGTCCTCTGTCCAAGCCTGCGGACTAACAATGCATCCAACACAATATGCAACGAAGAAAGCAGTTGACACGATACTTTTCTTCGTGTTACCCTTCACATTACTGGCGATAATGCTGGCGGCGCTACTTATCAAGGAAGAGCTGCATCCTCCGAGCCAGGTCGCTACCACTATTCCCCAGTTCGCACCGCCGGAATATGGAAGCGTCATGAGCAATATTGATCCTAGGAGAGGTACGATAGAGAGGCCGATGGCGGTATAGACTCGTGTTCCGGGTATAATGCGAGGGATGATGGCGCCGATCCAGACGGTGATGAAGTTGAAAGCTCCGGCAGGTGTTCCGACGAGCATCGTTTTGTATGTTGAGTAGCCGAAGCCGTGTATGACGGTGGAGCTGTACTTTGGAGTGGGAAGAGTGTGGGTTAATACCTGACCGACGTATTCCAGATGAGGATCGCTGGCATACCTTCATTATGGGGGTCGTCAGGGTGATACATATTCCCATCAGGCAATAGATCCAAGTCATCGGCGACAAGAGTGCCTCCTTGAGTTGAGCTTTGCTGAACACTGCATGGTCTCGGGTAGCGCGATCGATCGCCATGCGCTGAGTTGCCACTTCTCGTTCCTGTGGACTCAGGAACCAAGCCGTTGTCGTATCTCGGGGCATCAAGAAGATGAATAAGAGGCCAGTCGCGGAGGTTAAACCTCCACATATCAGGAAAAGGGAACGCCATGGGGCAAGTGACATGTTTCCCTTTCCTATACCATACATCATGAGGGCACCTATAATATTGGCTATACCGTTCATTGATACCCATGTAGCAACGCGAATTGGATGTTCCTTGCGCTTGTACCAGATACTAGTGATGATAATGAAAGCTGGGGAGACGGTTCCTACTCGAATGGTTAGTCTTGAAGCGGAAGGGTATATGAAGTGAGTCTTGCCTTCGGAGAACCCTAAGAAGAATCGCACTGCTGCCAGTCCCGCGAAGTTGTGAACAGCAGCGAGACACATATTTACCCCACCCCATATTACGATAGTTACTCCGACGTAGATTGTGATCGGAAATCTGGAGAGCATGATCGCAGCTGGGTATTCTGAACAAAGCTGGCCCAGATAGAATAATGAGACAGCCCATGAGAACTCTTGACCTGTGAGCTTGAGGTCACTTCGTAGACCAAATACCGCGGCCTGATTAATTGTCTGCTTGTCGAGGTCTAGAGAAACAATTAGACTCGATGGAAAATCAGCACCAGGATATTGGCTGACATTGGAAGAAATATACGAGCACCATCAGAGGCAGAATCACGCAGTCAAGTTTTCGAACGACCTTCCTCTCGATTTCGGGGTCAACGCTGTAGAACTGCGTATCATCTGCAGCTTCTAGTTGACGCAATTCACTCTCAACCTTGTCGTCGACTGGCTTCTCCGGGCCAGGGTTTGCACGGTTCCGAGCCATTTTGTAGCCTTCGACAACTCGAAGAGTTAACGCTATATGGAGAAGGAATTTAAAGGGAATACAGAAAATCTCTCAGATGTTGGCAGCGTGAAGACAACTTGCTTCTAGAGAGACATTTAAATAGTATCTTCGTCACCTCGAAAGAGGGGTACAGCGCTACGTCGTTTCTAACCCACGGGGTACCCCAGATTGAGGGGACAACGGGAATAGGTTCTTCGCATCTCCAGCCACTAACCGAGAAAGCTAGGTCATTGAATACTCTGAGAGTGTACACTCAGGTAGCAAGGCACAAACCCTGGCCGAAATAGTATATTGGGAGGCCTATGTCGGTCCAATGTCAGAATCCCGATAGAGTGCATGGCTAAGCAGGATAGTGGCTTGGCACTAGGAGTTCGTTGAAACTATGTTTGCGTGCGATACCATGATTCGGCGTCTATAATACCGAAAAGCCCCATACGCCCTCATGGACTTATTCGATGGGTCTCAGTTGGTGGTCACTTCTTGATGCTCTGCACGCGGCACTCGCAACCCCAATTTTCATTGGCACGGATGAACTATCTGGTCCATCTTTATCCATTATACAACTGTAGGAGATCCTGGGATACGATTCGCAAGTGTATTGGCATCGACGTCTTGGAAGGATGGTCAAATAGGCGAAGCCGACACATATCACACAACAATTAATGGATAATGCCTACCACCCTCGTTAATGATCGAGTAGCATGGCCTTCATACAACCTCTCGCCTGTCGGGCAGTGAAGGCAACCATATTGGACCATTACTGGATTATGTAGACATGCAGGAGGTCTAAGATTGTCATATTGTCGGATAGGTAGATAAACTATTATACACAATCTTTTATTGGGCTCTAATTGAGATATTGAAAGCGGGGGCAAATGTGGAGCGAAGGTGATATTATACTTTGAACTTTGCTATTCTGATTGATGTAAGGGAGAGGAGGTGTCTGTATTCGGTTAAGATCATACGTTTTCGGGTTGGGGAGATAGCCTTTATAAGGTAAAGAGCCTTACTGTAAAAGAGGGCGGCACCATACAGAGCATCGGGAAGTTATACAGAAGCCGACGTCTTGCGGGAACACTCTGAGCATATTTTTGGAAATGAATCGACGCACAGATTCTCTAGAGCCAAAGGTAATCGTCCCTACCAAAGCATTTATAACAGTTCTTGGAAGAAATGGCAAAGTGAGAAAGTATAGAAGACTTTATAATTTGAAGTTGTCCCAATGAGGAAGTCGGAAGGGAAAACCCCATTGTGACGCTACTGAACACCCATAGCTTGCTTCAACTTTTGTAAGATTTGCTTCGCTTGAAGTAAACGCGATCCTTCTAGGCATCCCCATGCGGAGGCCAGCTTTTCACACTTGTCAATGAGAACCTGGTCATATGGAAACTGGCGATTCTCGAGCAAGAGCTCCATGGCTGTCAAATATTGATATTCGATAGCAGACTCAAGCGGTTCGAGTTGGAGGGCCACGTCATGCTCCCAGGTTTCATCACCCCAACCCCAGAGTTCACCGCGGGCTAACAACGCTCGGATAACATCCAGGCGGTTAAGGCTCACAGCACTCTCAAGCCTAATTATAGCAGCAACTGTAGGCTCGACATCTTCAGGCAGAAAATTAATGCCTTTGTTGAGAAGGTAAACTGCATTACTGGGACGTGACTCAACGCATTCGTAACCGTAGGCCGTGCGTTGCAAACTGGTCCCGTACATGTTCAAAAGACTTGGTTTGACACTCAGAAGATATTCTAGAATGTCAGTACTGTTTGCAAACTCTGCAGCAATATGAAGAGCCGTGCAACGCTTTCCCTTCAGGTCCATGCATTTGTTGATGTCTATCAAATCCTCCTCAACCATGTACCGGATAAGATTCAGAGCACAACTCGCCTGGCAAATGCTCCGAAAAAGCCACCCGACATTATCCGGAACTTTATACCCTTTGTCAAGAAGTAACCATGCAAGTGCTTCCTGAGACTTGGGGGGAGCAAAACGAAGAAAGTGCATTGGACTGAACCCATAACGCATGGTGCAATTGGGATCCGCGCCTCTATCTAGTAGCAGGTTTGCGAGCTCCACATCGCCATTGCGAACACAAAGGTGCAGCATCGTGCGACCGCATAGGTCAAACGCATTAGCAAAGACACCCGCATCCAGAAACAGCTTAACTGAATGATAAGCGCCCCCGTTGACTAAATCCGCAAAAACCTCCAGGTCCCTGTCGTGACCTTCGTGTAAGCGGTGAGGTATATCTACGAACCCATCGTATTCATGGCTTACAGTATTGTCTGGTATGAGTCTGACGTTTGCCATATCGTAGTATTCCTGTTTTGGAAAAGCAATTTCCTTTGCAATTTTGAGTAGATAACCACGAGCAAATCCATCAAGCCTCCTGTTCGTCAAGCGAAGACAACAAAGAACCTTGAAATCTAGGTCCTCGATGATATAGTGGATAATCTCAGAAGGTAAGTGAGAAAGCTGGGCTTGCATCTTGGGCTGGCTCATGAAGTCTTCGTATAAGGAGAACTGTAAGTCAGAAAGTGATTGAAGTCGCTTCAAAGCGATGCTGACAAGAGAACCTGACCTAGCATGCGGTATTTAAATAAAGTTCACGTACTATTCGACTCCAATTATTCCATTGCTCAACTGAAACCCTCAAGAATGAATAGCTGCAACGAGTATCACCAGTATCTTTGCATGGGTTTCGGGAATAACATCCCTTGTCTACGTCATCTTCTGGAAGGTTCCTGTTATAGGGTGTTGCACGAGGATTAAGGGACACAATTCAACGGCAATCTCTTTTCATCTAAGTTCTTCCGCAGAACAAGGCTTATAAATTGTAGTTCACGCCAAAAGTTCTTCAGTTTCAGAACTATGCCGAAGCTTTGTCCGGGACGGCTAAGGTGATTGTTTGACACAGAACTGGGAAAGTCCCTGGCTTATTGGAATGAATAAAGAGTACTCTGTGGCTTTGTCTTACGCAACGAAGAGTTATTCACGATTGGAATCATCTCGTCAGGTTCCGTACCATAAATGTACCCTACTGAGAGCAATCTCCGTGAATCTATCGACAATCTTTATTACGTAGTGGAGCTTACCATTCGCGCCTTTGGACCGACACGATAAGCGCTAGATGTCCAAAAGTAACTTTTTTAAAAAAGTGTAACCTTGCTATGTAAGCAGTCAATAAAAAGGGGCCAACTTGTCTCCATTTTCCTCGTCTTCCTCCAAGCGCAGCGAACTTAAGAAAGTCGCAGATCATCGAACATTTTGAATAGACGGGCTAGGCAACTGGCTGGCTAAACAACCCGGGTGAATCTCAAATCCTCCGATATTACTCACCCTTATGCAGAGCCTTTCACCTCGATGCTGACCACACTGCGATCAATTTGGTCTCCGCTAGATGCTGTGTTTATCTGTCTCTACAACCTTCTGCCTAGCTGGAAACCTGGCACATTTGTTATCGAAGAAATGGAATCATCTTCGTCTTTGAGCCCCAAGGATGTAGGTCCCAATAGCGAATACCCCTTGCTAGGACCCCCTCTAATGTTCATAGGCTATCCCAGCTGCTGCATATGAAATTCCCGATCACCCTCCAAACGTCGAAGTGAGAATTGTTCGTCCGTATTATCCTCCTGGCGTGTCCCAGATCATTGGCCGCAGTGGTCGACATTTTATCGGCCTGCTCAATGAATCAACCGTTCTCAAGTACCCATACATACCTGGCGATCGTGTAGGTATCGAGGTAGAGGCGGAGCTTCTCAATCTCGTCGGCAGCCACCCACGGATCATCGCCTCGAAAGGTCTCAATGAGCATGGCCTAGTCCTACAGTATGCAAGGAACGGCAACGTCTGCGATCGCTTCACAACGGGTCATGATATTTCCTTCGACCAAAAGCTCCGCTGGTGTAAACAAGCTGCGGAAGCCGTCAAATACATACACCAGAAAAGAGTTATCCACTGTGACATCAATGTTCGCAATTTGCTACTGGACGATAACCTTGACGTCTTACTCGCAGACTTCCAGGGCGTGTTGAAGTCCGAGAATGGCGAAAAATTGCTGGACGGGGAGTCGAGAGAACATTCTAAAGCATACATGCCTCGCGTTCACGGTGATATTGCCAATGCCAAGACGGATATCTTTGCACTGGGATCTCTATTTTACCATATCATGATGGGACATGAACCGTTTCCGGAATTGAATGATTGGGAGCATGATGAGGAGATTGAAGAACGTTACAAAAATGGCCAATTTTCTACTGATAGCCATGCATGCTCTCATATTACAGATAAGTGTTGGAGGCAGTTGTACGAGTCTGCTGATGAGATAATCTTTGACCTTTCTCAGATTCAGGCGGCAAAGGATGCTGGTACGGAATACTAAGACAATAGATAGATTGCAATTCGCAAATACGATTTGATTTAAAAGCTCAATAATCCCTCCTTGTACACTAATGCTGTCGCTTGATCAGAAGTTTACGTTTATCTCTGTCGCTATCGCAAGGCCAAGCTTCAGAGTTGACGAAACTCCTTGAATCCATTATCAACACTTCGGACAGATTCCGAACCTCTTGGTTACGATTCCCATGTGCACATCCTTATATCCGCTGCAGTTTGGCTTGCCACAAGGAGGCCGAGGATCATAAGTGGTAATTGTATGCTTCGGCTGTGCAGTGCAATTGACATACTTGGTTGTGTTGACGAATCGCTCACACATGTTGATATGGGGAAAGAGAAGCCGTGCTGTATATGATCTGGTTAGTTCTGACATGACTTCATGGAGAGATGTGGCACTTACGTTGATGAGGAGCACTTGTAATGGCAATACTTAAAATGGTAGCTATCAATGAGCTTCGCAGATTTTGAAGTGGATATGTTCCTTCAAACGAAGAGTGGTGCTTGCAAGGTATTTATGCACACCTGGGGCTTTCTCACTATGCTGACAGCAGATAACGATTCGGAAGATACCATGACATTGTCAAGACACAGTCTGCCTGCATCGTGAGGACGTGAAAGGCAACAGCCGGAGCAATACATGATCGATACTTCGAAGGAGAATGACCCATGGCATTGAAATCCTCACAGAGGGTGTCGATGCGCTGACTGCTAGACAGAAAACGATATATCGCGTCTATCCGATCAGCTAATGGAGAGGTATGTCTCATCAGGCTGTCTTGTCACCTAGACATGCGTGCCCCGGCGCATCGTTGAGAATTCGCGATGCAGACGGCACTGTCTTTGATATACTCATGTTAAACATGGCATCCCTTGAAAGCGAACGACAAACTATGAGTGCCTGCAGCTCCACAAGAGGCTCAACCCTAGCTGCATCTCTGATGCATGGCTTCAATTCCAGCGATCATGGGCTGTGGCACCGACATGTCCCGTCTCGTCCTGCCAGGTTTAAGTGGGTTATGAACCCATGAGCCCTTGCTCGCCGTATTCACCCAGATGATGGGAATACAATCGATTCTCCAAGTGCCGATGTACTGCCGTTGTATGAAATGTGGCTGTCGGGAAATAGAGCCGTCAAGCATGTACTGGAGGATAGGCGGATGAAGTTGAAACTGGTTGCTGGCCGAGGCATTATCAATCAGTATATTACGTACCTCTCCTGACATTTAGCCCTAGTCCTCACCTATAATAGGATGTCTCATATGTCGAATCTTATTTTGGGGTATCGTGGAGTCAGTTTCTTGGTCCTTGATGATTATGTTCTTGGTAGGTATGTTCTGTGTGGAAATAGATGAACAGAGTATGCAGAAACAAGATTCCAGGATTCGAATAAATCACAAGTGCTGTAGCAGCGCGATCTGGTGACGTTAAGTGAATAGCGCGGAATAATGTATACCCTTCGTCCGTTCGTGATCGCCTTCACGCTAGACCTAACACCAGAAGAATGAGAGCATGATGGCTATCCGAGAAGTAGTTAATAATGTGTTAGTTTATTTCTGTGTAGACTTTCCCTTCATAGCGTTCTTTTGCTTTAGTGGTCGCACCGTCGAAAGTACTATCTCTTGTGATTATGATGGTAGTGAAATTTCGCCGTCAACTCTCAACGCATTAACGTACTGCTGAAGTTTGTTGAGACAGCAAGTTAAGTGGATCAATCCCAGAGAACTAGTGAAAACACCATGGAAGAGGAAAGAGTCAGTACTCATGTGCCTTCTTGTATTGGTATAACCCAAGCAATTGAAAGCTGCTTCTAACTTCGCAATGCCCAGACCATGGAAAATGGACCTTCTCAAGCGCCAGGGTATCCAGAAGCCCTGCATTACAGGTTTATCCCCCCCAGTCTGGAGGGTCTCAATTTTGTGCCCAACTTCGGAGACATCGTTTTTCATGTGAAGGGCCAATTCCTAGCCTGGGGAGGAACTGCGGTCCTAGAACGTATGCCCTCAGGAAATGTGGTCAAGACACCGCTGCCGAACCCTTACTTTCAACGCGAACATGAGCGTCATAGGAAAAGTATGCATATCGAGGCCATTATTTATGAGATTCTCCAAGATCATCCGCGCGTACCAAAATTGATAAATTGGGACCCAACCACCTGTTGCTTGACGATGGAGTATGTCGAGAACGGGAGCCTTGCGGATTTCATAGGAAGGAATCACCAATCGATAACTGATACTATGAGGAGCAAATGGGCAAGACAGGCAGCCGAAGGTGTTCAATTGCTTCACCATCATAATATCATTCATTCCGATCTATCGCCTCACAACTTTCTCGTTGACTCGAACCTGGACTTGAAGGTTTCGGATTTTGCTGGCTCCTCTGTTTTTGGTGCACCTGGCTCTGCTCTTCCCGGCACCCGCTATTGTGATCCACATGTTGAAGGGTATGTTCTCCGGTTCTCAGATGATATCTTCAGCCTGGGATCAGTCATTTATTTCATAATGACTGGCAAGCACCCCTACCAGGACCTGCCCAGCGATAATGTCAAGTATCTCTTCCAACGCTCCCAGTTCCCCGAAGTCGGTCACCTCTCATGTGGCAGTATCATAAGGCGGTGCTGGCTGTTGGAAGTGGATGCCACTGAAGTGTATGAATACTTCAGCAGGCATGGATAATTGGATGGTTTTTGTATTTCTTAATTCCCAGCCAAACATATCAGGTTCATATTTTGTCCATTCTCACTGGCCATCCGCACTGCACGTCATTGTAGTATTCGTAATTGTTATTTATAGCACAGTAACTGTGTACCATATGCATCATATCCCTTTTCTTGATGTGATGGAAATCAGTTGCAAGTTGCTGTCCCGACCGATAGACGTCCATCCTGCTTCTTGCAGACGCGTCAAGTAGTCGCGTTTCTCGCACACCAATGTACTCCTCGTTCACAACCGATCGTAGTGCAAGGCGAAGGAACCAGTATGTCATATGTCCAAAATAGGAAGGTTTGCACATTTGACCTTTTAGAGTTTAGTCAAGCGTAAGAAGCATAAGTGCGAAAAGGTTTAGCTGCTAACCAATCCAACGAATCAGATAATTAAGGTTAAACGAAAGGTTTAGTTTTAGAACAGCAGTAAGATGTGCTTTGTATATGCCTTATTAGGCTAGAGGCCTTCTAATGAGGACCCTATATTGGTTTTGGCCAAGGCAAGGAGAGATGTAGATGGTTAGATTGAGCCACTGGAAGCGCGACTTTATAGCTTTCGTAGACCTTCCTTGAGTGAATTATAGAATTCAAAACGGCTACAGTATTCGGGTTCACCATTTCTCCGAGTGAAACCTTCAGAGCGTCATGTGAATGATCCTGTTCACCATATTGGACATCCCCTATATATGCAATGCAATCTAGAGAGCACATTTTATGATGTATCCGATATATCCCGCTACTATTCAAGGGGTCATTGTTTGATATGGTGTTCCTGTTATTGCTGTCACATTTTCGTCCCACGTTATGCTCTGAACAGCCAAAATCTTACTGGGTTGGCTGTTCTCTTAGGAAACATTTGTCGTGGGAAAGCATACCCTATGCAAAGAAAATATTGGAGCGGAAACCAAAACCTACGGCCGCTTAGCATGACTGTTGATGTATAACTGAAGTACGTAGAGCTATCATTCAATGGGAATAGACCTATTGATTCAACTCCTGGGCTTGGCATTCCAATGCGCAGTGATCCAGAAAGTTAATTTGGATGAGAGAAGAGTAGTGAAGTCATCCGTCAGATGACTCCCGCAGTTTCCAATTTCTCATATATACAGTCAGACATGAGAAACTGTTGAATACTAAAACCATATACCGTCCATTCTAAATTGAAATTTCTCGTTTCATCATGTTCCCAAGCCTACAGAGCTTGTCCGAAGAGGACGAATATAAGGATAACCCGGCACCTTCCGGCCGGCGGCGGTCGTCTGTGGTTCCACCTAGCCTGCAGTTCCTCGTCGATCAGGACTCTCAGCAAGCTAGTAATGAGCCCGCTGAGTGGGAAAAGTCATGGGATCAAACGTACGTTTCATATATCGCTGAGAGGCGATCTAGTAGGTCTTCTAACCCCAACAGGACTGAAAACCCGGAGCTTTGTGATTTCTTAGATCGAGTCTCCTCTCGAGATCCAACTGATCCAGATCAACAAGGTGGGGAAAGAATGAGAAGGGGTTCTTGAGTTAAAAGAAATTTCAGATCACGATCTCAGGGACTCGACGAATCATGTAATTGATGATGTTGAAGCGTACATGTGATTGCTATTCTCTAATTTGTCGCAATCGCCAGATATAATGGATTTTAGTTGACAATGTGATTGTTTTTGTCTTCCCTTGTTGAGTCGCAGCTGATTATTACTAAAATTAATGCGTGAAAATTGCTGTAGTTTGTAGCGAAAGATCGTGCTATTCGGAGCACAGCTCAGAAGTGGACAATGCTCCTGAACTCGGAATACCCGAGTATCCATCGAGACATTTTATGTCGAGATGCTAGTGGGTCGAACCGGAGGAAATGGCATGTTACAATAGTGATGGCATCACCACGTCAACGGATGTGGGAAGACCATAACCTACTAAGCTTCAGCTAGCCGAACACTCACCAATCGCCTTACATTTGACCCACAGCAAGTGGGCCATATCAGCCCATCAGAATCAGCCCATTTTTCATCCCTCCGATTAGCAGCGATTCTGACGTTTGCCCCGGACACCGGGATATCATCTCCACCACTTCTACGATTGGCTACCAGTGGGTCTAACTTTGAAATATGTCGCAATAAGATGGCTTCCTCCTTCTTTCTCTTCCACAGATATACCGCAAATTTCACGCAATCTTATCCAGGCACGGTACCCGACTTGCAGGGCATCTTCTTTGCCACAGTGTGTCGCATATAGATCAAATCGTCATCTGTGCCCTTTCATCTATTGATTCACCTACGGAGTGATCCATAACTCCACAAAATGGACCGTCGCCTCACAATTGCATCCCAAGTCGCCGTCGCGGCTGTGGCTGGCTATTGCATCTACAAGGCCTTCAACGCTCGACAGCAACAACAATCCCTGAAGGATGCCGTGCCTAAGTCATCTGCTGCTCCTTTGACACCAGAGCAGATCAAAATCATCAAGGCCACAGTCCCTGTTCTACAGGAATATGGCACCCAAATCACCACTGCCTTCTACAAGAACATGTTGACAGCGCATCCTGAACTCAATGCCGTGTTCAACACCGCCAACCAGGTCAATGGCCACCAAGCACGTGCGCTAGCTGGTGCACTGTTCGCATATGCATCTCACATCGACGATCTTGGGGCCCTCGGTCCTGCCGTTGAATTAATATGCAACAAGCATGCATCTCTATACATCCAAGCTGACGAGTACAAGATCGTTGGCAAGTACCTTCTGGAAGCTATGAAGGAGGTGCTTGGAGATGCCTGCACCGATGAAATTCTCGATGCATGGGGTGCCGCATACTGGGCCCTGGCCGACATCATGATTAACCGCGAAGCCGCACTGTACAAGCAGAGCCATGGCTGGACCAACTGGCGCCAGTTCCGGATTGCCAAGAAGGTGCCCGAGTCGGACGAGATCACCTCGTTCTACTTGAAGCCAATTGACGGCAAGCCACTGCCGCCGTTCAGACCAGGCCAGTATATCTCGGTCAGTGTCCAGGTTCCAGAGTTGAAGTACCCCCAAGCCCGCCAGTACTCGCTCAGTGATACCCCTCGCTCGGATTACTATCGTATCAGCGTGAAGAAGGAAACGGGGCTCGATCCTCGTGCTCCGGGTGCTAAGAGACACCCTGGATACGTCTCCAACGTTCTCCATGAAATCATCAAGGAGGGTGATCAGATCGATGTATCTCATCCCTATGGAGACTTCTTCTTGTCCACTGCCGAAGCTACCCATCCGATCGTTCTTCTCTCCGCCGGTGTCGGTATCACACCCATGATGTCCATCCTGAACACCATCACTCAGAAGAAGCAACGCAAGATCCATTTTATTCACGGATCCCGTACGACCGATGCTCGCGCCTTCAAGAGCCATGTTCGCAAACTGGAAAACGACATCCCTGATATGCAAGTGACCTACTTCCTCAGCAAGCCAGCTGGCAGTGACCAGCTGGGCGTCGACTACCACCACGCTGGGAGGATTGACCTGCAGAAGCTCGACGGGCCGTCTCATCTGTATCTGGACAACCCTGCTACGGAATATTACGTCTGTGGCCCCGACACATTCATGACGCAAATGGAGCAGGCTTTGAAAGCCTATGGTGTGAGCGATGACCGGATAAAGATGGAGTTGTTCGGTACAGGTGGTATTCCTCATAACTAGAACACTCTTCTGTTCTGGCTTTTCTGTACTATACATTAGTTGAGATGTGGTGATCTTTTATGATACATAACGAATTGATTCCTATAACCAGAACAGACGCCTCTAGAAGGAAAGTAATTCACTTGTTTCTTTGTGTTAATCCATAAAGACACAATGTTTGTGCTTCAACTTATATAAAAGGAAGAGGAGAAAGATCTCAAGATGTCAAGGTTCATCCTGGCCCGCATGTAGTCCGAAACACAAATCTCACCCCAAGAAAAGCCTCCATGACGCCTCAGTGCTCATCCGCCCCATCCATATTGACTTCATGCCAATCAGCATACAAACGAGCGCCTAAAGTAAGCATCCCACCGGCAACTCTTTGCCCATCTGCATACGCCTCGAACGGGTACCGAGTTCCAGGCTGAAAGTTGAGGCCTGGGGTATTAGCAACAATTTGCCCTTTCGCGGTTGGCCTGAAAGTATACTTGTTAGATTATCCAGAAACATTCAAAGATGGTCAACTCCTTACAATGGCTGCAGCACTCTTTCGAAAACAGTATTGATTTTTATTCGCACACCTTTATGCAATTGTTCGTCACTCAACGGTGGGTCCACCATGACCAACTCGGCAGTCAACTGGGCGTTAGGGGACTTTGTCAGAATATGGTCCACATGGTGTTCTTTCCCACAGCCATATAGATAAAACGGCATGAGCTCGGGATATTCGTTCTCAAGATTATCGAAGGCAAGCGACTGGTCAACAACTTTCCGGGTAATATGGACTGTGAAGGGAGGGATCAACGGATCTGGCATTACAGGTTCACCCATTCGATCATTCGCTGGAGGCTGCGGTTTCGGTATACCCCTGTCCATGCGGGCAGTGAATTGTTCTGCCTGAAGAAGGTCATTGAGATGGTGTCTCTCAATATTGCCGAGCGTGAAAATTGAGTCTGGGTACGCAGTACGGAGTCTCCCATACTCTTTCATTACTTGGTCGGGAATCGATGCCTCAAGGATGAGCTGGCGGCGATGATTGGCCATGTTGAACATGGGAAAATGAACAAGGAAGAGGGTTATGTCTCCTTGCATGATAAATCCGTGGTGATCGGGCGTTGGAGTGTTGCGTTTGCGGCATCGCTGCATATCGTCAATGTCTTATTTTTGAGGACAGGGCCTTTTATAATGTGTACCTCAATTTCCTGCTTTGCGATTTTCTTGACGCCATCGGCCATGGATTTGAGATTGTCGGGGTCAGATGGCCAAGGACTCATTGTGACGCTGACGAGGGATGTTAGGTCTCCGACCGCTTCTTTTCCGAGGCCCAGTCGTTCTTTGTATGTTGTCAGGCAGTCGCCGTATGTGTTGGAAGACATTTTGGTCTCGGTGAGTATTAAGGGTCGTTCGTCGGTCCCTGTCTCTTCGCGAGCTCTGTTTGAAAGGCGCTGAAAGATTCGCGTGTTCAAGTAATTTGCTTCATTCTGTGGATATGGTGTCAGTGGGCAGTGTTGGTGGACAAGGTATGGAAATTCCGATGCTGACCACGTCTTTATTAGGAATGCCATTGATCCTGAAATTGAAAGCAAAGGAATTAATCATCAAATCACTTCCAATTTCTTTGAACCTATTGAACGTATCTGGATCAGATGCAAGTTCAGAGTTAGATTGGTTTATGATATGGTTTCGCATCCAGTTTCTCTCTTCTAACACTGGTCTAGATGTCCAAGGAACAGTCCCATTCTGTTCGGACGGAAGCATGTGGAACGGCACGACGATGAGATTGTCGTCCCCTTCATCGTCATCGCCGATGGCCATTGTAGCGAGATGGCAGTAGAGCTAGAGTGCAGAGTTTGAAGTCAGCATTTTTACCCCGCAGAATGGCATGTACCTCACTTTTACAGAGGCAAATAACGCTTTCCCAAGCAGCAGGCCATAGCCCCCAGGATTGAGACCAATAGTCTCGTGAGAGAGCCATACAGCCACCGGGGCTGCTCCAGGCTTACTGCCCTCCACACCGTATATGCCCATACTTTCTCTGTCGTCCCCGTTGTGATGAATTATTGGACTTGTCCAAGTAATGAGGTACCGCATCCTCTCGTCACGATAGCACAGCCCCCCTGCCGGGTAGTGAATGTATCCGGACCTAGCCACCCAGTTAGCATGGTAGATTTCTTTGCAAAAAAATGACATACTTATGAGGATCAATCGTGATGCTATCTGCGGAGCCCAAAGACCGCATCTGCGCGATGGTATAGGGATTCAAGACTAAACTGGTAGTCACCGGCGTTGGACTCCCAGGGGGTGCAAGCGTAGAGGCAAAATACCCACCCCATGCAGCATCACAGTGCACAATAAAAGATAACCCCTTCTTCATGTACACCTCCCTCAGCTCTATGATTCTCTCTAGCGGGTCGCACGCCCCATGTGACGTAGATCCTATCATGGCGATCACTCCGAAGACGGGAATCTTCTTCATATAACAGTACTTGAGCTTAGCTTCTAGATCCGCCATGTCCATCCTGGCATAGCGGTCAACTACGACATTGACGAACCGATCGGATCCCAGACCGGTAATTGCTAGTGGATGAATTGATTAGATATTGACGAAATGATGGGTATGATGTGTGGTGTGCCTACCTCCCCCTTTCGGCCACGAGTAATGTCGCGTGCTGCTGATGAAGAACCTTGCTGGTTCCTGGATATTGAACGCACGCTCTAGTGGCTCCATACCAATAGTCTGCACCAAATAATTCTTCAGAGCGTACTCAAGGAAGGCTGGTGAGATTCCGTATTCCTGCGCTAAACGAGTTGGTAGATCTAGCACCTCTGCGGGGTGCAGGTTCAGAAGGTCCCATCCTTCAAGGTCCTTAAAAGGTCTTCGAATTCTATTTGCATCCTGGACTTCGAACGGGGGTTGAGCCGTAGTCAAAAAGTGGAGCGGGCCGCCTTCATCCATTGCAAGTTTCAAGGACAGCGGGTAGAATTTGAGGTTTCGAGCTATCAAGTTTGTGAGCTTATGAGCGGAAGTTCCGGGCATTTTCACCATGACATACCTGCCCAAATTGCCTCCAAGTTTGCAACAGAGCCATCCTGAGGACTGTCAGCTGACGAGTTCCCCGGTTAGGGGAGGGAGGGTGTACGCAGGTTATATGACCCCAGCCTACAGCCTTCTCAGAATCGCCACAATCAACGTTATAGCCAAGCATCTTACACAGCTGATTACCGACTTCGTGTTCGATATACGTGGTATAGGGGCCCGACTCTGGGGTGACATTGTTTGGATTGTACATCATCGCTGCAATGTCTTATTATGGTCTATTAGCAAGGGTGTTGAGCGATTATGGACGCAGTAGAGGTCAGCTTACATCCCAAAGTACTGGCCATAGTGGTATCCATGTTCATATGAGCATTGTAGCGAGTAGACCAAAATGGAATAGAGTAATTCGCCAGATTGTTCATGACCTCAGTGAGCTTCTCGCGTAGGGTGTCGATACTTTCCCTAGCACTGGGATATTCGATCATGTCCCGTGTGATGAAAAACGCATCGGTGATGTCCAGGTTTCTGCGACTCTCAGCGTGTTTGGTAACAATATCAAGGATAAGTGCCTTGAATTCCTCAACATTCTCTGCCTTTGGTCCTAAGAACCATGAGCTTACTAGAGCATTCTCAGAATGGTGATTCATCACTGCGATCGTGGTCGTTTAATCCTTGTTTGAATTCGTAGACGGAACCTGTTAAAAACAATACTGAAGAGCAAAGAGCATGAATTATAATGATTGATATAGTATCAGGTTCTAAGATACAGCTCGGAGACTTGCCGGATTTATTGTCTAGTCGGGGTGGTCCTTGCTTACTCTCCTCAGGAAGAGTTGCTATTATCCCACTTTGTAACACTCCTCTGTCCAATCTCGGGTAACACAAACAAACAGATCTGCGGCACAGGTAAGGTATATTGAGACCCCCAAAGTTTAGAACCCTTGGAGAGTCCCCAGTATGGCAAAACTATATGCGAAAATCCCTCTGTCGCCGCAATTTACCCCAATGCAACTATCCAAGCTCAGACATTGGGAAGGCAGATGACAAGCGATCGCAGCGATCACAGGGGCTACATGTTAATCCCCGGATTGATCACCAGATTATAGTCTGTAAATACGCCAATTAGTTGAATCCAATAATATCTTGTGGGGGGGGGGGGAGAGGGCCATACAAGGATGATCAGATTTCTATCAAAAGTAGGCACATGCTGAGGTGAGAATTGTGCTTGGATACATAGTACAGCTAACCCAATGTCTGAGGACAACAAAATGGAATACCGTAGCGGCAATTATCTGCACCAAAGTGTGTATGCAGAAAAGGCAGGATCGGAATACACAACGATAAAAGTGGAAATGCAGCGTTTGGTTGGGCCTTTACCATCCGTAGGTCTTGAAGACAGCCCCAGCAACTCTACTCTTCTTTATTAGCTGCCCCAGCCAGAGGTCCTTACCCCTGCAGCACTGTTTACTATCATCATCAGCGTTAATTGGTGAGAGAACGAAAGTCAGCTCAATGGCGGCCTGTGCATAAAGCATCCTATCCGCTAATTGTTGGGTAACTATTGGCCCAAACAAACTGGCTCCGACGCCGATCATGAATCGCCCAGATCCAATCTAAATCCACGGTAAGCAGCGGAGCTAGTGGACCTCAGCTGAAAGCCTGCTGGTCGATACGCCTGCCATTTGTGGTATGTTGAATTAGCTTTACAGCAGTTGGAGGGTTACTTCGCCTGCAGAAGTCACACGATAAGACGATCTACATCCGATCAAAACCTATTCTAGCTTCTGAATAAGGTTAATGTGGACCACATCTATACATGTAATACCATGAGTAGCCCTACTTACATGGCACACTATAGCACAGTTGTATCTCCAGATCTACATTGACCCATTCTTGGTAGTAGTTTCCACGTTCGGATACTCCATCACACACCTACTTCCAGAATCAGATCATCATTATTTTAGTACTTTTTAGTACTTTGCGTTCTCTGTATCCTGATATATGTACATGCATGAAACGTGACAAATCAAATTGGTTTTCTGGTGCGCAGATCTTCAGCACGGTTCAAACATGTATCGAACTCATTTGTTCAGTAAAACATAAATGCCCTTGTATGACAGGAAATGCTCGAAGAAGCTCAGTATCTTGTCGTTCCCCTTGCTTTCATCTTTTGTCCCAATCTTTTGTCTTTCCCCGTATACTACACTCTAGTAATCGATTTTACTTTTCTATCCACTTGACAAACAATATATGTCCAAGGAATAAGAGTCATCTTGGGCACTCTGGGCACCCTGGTTTGGTCTGTAGAATCGAGTCAGACTAATGACTATGGGACCTATTCCACCTTCAGTCCATCCCAGCGTACAGCCTGATCCCAGCCAATACGATGCAAGGGACACCCATTCGTAACCGAGAACCTGCGACTGACCCTCAGGTCTCTCAGGAGTCGATTGGCTTCGGAAGTTCCACATGGAGCGCTGTTCTCTGTATATGAGACATTCGGTATGTAACTAGGGGGAAGAAAGAGCATTCATTGGATAGATTCACTGGATTCGAACAAACCTCACTATCAGTATACTCACACGACATGCGCTCCCTCCTGGATGAGGAAGACAGGGGCTGCCCTCAAATAAACGCTCATGATCTCGACTGTCATGGGTCATTTTCTTCTGGACAAAGCACTTACTCAGACGTGTGTCTTTTTTCTGCCAAATGCTCCATATCCTATTCGCCGTGCCGTATCTACCCATGTCAGTTAGCCCACATCAACTCATGAAATTGACCGGCTTTATTCAGGTCGAGCACTGATTGGTCTTCAATCTCTACGGTATCAGAAGTACAACCCGCCCTCTCTTGAATGCTAAACAGCATACTATTGTGCCTCCGAAGGTAACACCGGTAGTATTACCATAGTATAATATGCGGAAAATCGCTTTTATTGGCAGGCCGTATATCAGGGTTGTAAGTCTACGGTCCAATCATCGCTACCCGCTTTTGTGACAAGAACTGTTCGATGGACATCGAATTTGAAAATACATGTATAACAAATTGCACGTCACCATCCTTTAAAGGGACTGAGAGGGTGGAAGATATGCGGAAAGCGAAATGCTCCTGACGAGGATGCCGCGTAGTTATTTTTTTGGGGGTGGAGAATTTACTGCGCGTTACTACAACGCATAGGACTTCAGGCTAATTTGAGCAATATTTCCCAGGGGGCATTTCTTATCAGGACTTTGGCCAGATTATCATTGATGGTTGTGATTCGTTGATCACGTCGCAGAACATAAAAGCTATTCGATGGCTTACGGCGGGCCTCGCTAACGTTGCCACTTTCCGAGCCAGCTAAAATCTTTTCCTTTAGCGGGATCTCGCTAGATTTTCCTTCTTCGCCCCGCCACATTACGCACGCCGCCAAACACTATCATCTCCTGCATTAACGGATCGATCTATCAGGCATTGTTTCCGGCTTGATGATTGCCTTCGGGCAGACATGCGCTCACACTTTGGCTGGTAAGGTGTCAAATCATACCCACCCTTCTCCTTCTCCCTTCCCCAATCCAGTTCACATAGAAAACCGTCATAACATTTAATCTAGTGTGACATGTAGACAGCGTAAAGTGAAATGCAACGAGGAAAGGCCTATATGCGGCCCATGTGCCAAGTCCTCCCGTGATTGTGTCTTCTCCGACTGCATTTTCCGTCACTACAGCGCCAGCGACCTTGCTGCCGATGATAGGGGATATGCTGATCCAGATGAGAAACAAACATGGGTCAAGATACCATCTGATCGTAAGCTAGACTCCTGTTCTTCTGTCTATTGCCGAATATCAGAAGGATGATCAGCCAACGTGAATTGGACAGATGCTAAGATTTCCGCAGTCATCTTTATCCAGGTCAAAGACCCTTTCGCTGACGATGAGGAGCCAATACTTCTCCTGGACAAGCATCGCTCGATTGGCAGTACACCGATAACTCCTGTTACTGAGCATGGTGTGATTCCGAGTTCTATTCACAGTCCCGCCCTGCCTGCAGAGAATGGGGTTTTGACAACAACCTTGATACGACATTTCAAAGAAGGTCCTAGTCAATGGTATCTCTACCCGTTCGATTGAATGAACGATGAACTGACAGTCTTTACAGGTTAGACTGCTTTGACACTAATGCCTACTACTCCATTAAGGTGCCTGTCATGGTGGCTACGCGGCCCATGTTGAAGGCTGCTGCATGTGCCCTTGCCGCCAAACATCTGCACCGTATGTGCCAGGGAGAGCCTCGTCGGATCTTGCGGTTACCCCATCTTCGAAACAGCGCCCTCAAATGGGCCAATGGAGGAATCGACCTGAAATATGAATCAGTACGCCTGTATGACGAGGCTATAGGATATTTGAAAGAAGCGATTAGACTGGAAATTCCGAACAATCGGCGAGACGAGATGTTCGCTGTTGTTGCCATTCTATGCATGTATGAGTTGATCGATGCTCCCAGCACCGAATGGCGAGCCCATCTAAGTGCCCTGCCATTCTTGTATTGCGGGACATCAGATGATTTCAGCTCAACATCCACTTTGCCAAACTCTCTACTGCACATATCCCGCTCGGTCTTTTGGAGTCTTGTGCGCCAGGACTGTCTTTCTGCATGTAGGTTAACCATTTACGACTTCTATCGACTGCATCCTACGTTTAATCGGATACTTACCATGGAAACAGTTATCAATGAAACTCAAACTCGCCTCGACCTCTCCGACCTCGTCATTTGGCGCAACTTTGGCCTTAACATCTCCGCTCACGGCCATCTCTTACCTCCATCTGTCTCCTCTACAACCGTGAACACTCCCATTTCCTCCTCTCCGAATCCTCATACCTCCGTCCCAACGCACTGTACCTGGCTCGAGGAAGATACCCTCAGCAACGGCTTGATTTGGATAATGGGCAAAATTATCAACTTCATCACGAGCGGTGACGGAATTTACCCAGGAGACTATGAAAGCCCCCCAGGCCAGCGTCCATGTTTTGGCACTACACAAGAAGACCTCCTGGAACGATGGAAGCGACTAGAGTTTGAGCTGAGTGCCTGGTATGATAGCTTACCCGATTCTTTTACCCCGTGCGGTCGTACACAACTATGTCTATCCAATCTTGAACCGACACATCACAAAGGCAACCCAACCCCTACAGAGAACGTCGGAGATGTAGATACAATAGAGGCGATCATCTTCACCATCCCCATGTGTGCCGTCACCATCCAGACCTACCACATGGGCCGCATCCTGCTTTTGAGCAATATGCCGCAGGAATCCACGGCTATTCGGTCAACCGTAACGGCAAGACTGCGCCATTATCGCCAGATCGCCGGGTTGGTGGTGCATCATGCGCGGGAAATCTGTGGAATTAGTCTAGCTGGCTTGCCGGATGCGATACTTTCGCATACGGTGCAGCCGTTGTTCGTGGCGGGACAGTGCTTCGAGGGAGACGAGGAGAGGCGATTAGTAGTTCATCTGTTGCGACGTGTGGAGAGTGATACTGGATGGGCGACAGAGTATCGAGTGAAGGAGTTGCAGAAGCAATGGGCGGATGGGGGGTTGCGGTGTGGGAGATAGCCAAAACCATTCCAATTGTAATTTGCTTTGTACTTGCGGTGTATCTTGGACCCTAGAGACATGTGGTTTGGCACAAACGCAAATGTGATGCGTCTGATGCAATTGGGCCATGCAGACATGATTCGACGCAGATAGCAAGATTATCATCACCGGATCCTATAGTACAGATAGTAGGGAGACCCTCCCACAAAGAAGAAATTTTCCCGAGACAAGTCTAGACCCAGTTTCTATTCCCTCCACTACGCTTCTTCCCGCGCCCCTCAACTCACAGGGCAGATAGATAATACCCGATGGAAGTGGATCCATGCAATTAACCACGAGGAAATCTTCCCGAGAGTAATCTTTCCGAGCCGCCGATTCTCGCCTATCGCGGTTTTATCGTGCTTACTGCCTTTGTAGATCACGATGCCTACAGATTTTTAGGGCCCACGAACATGGTATAAATGAGGGAGTAGGATCTGAAGAAAATTACCTTCTAGTTAAAACATACTTCTAGAGTCCTAATATAACTCCCCTCGGCCTTCAGATAAACATGGCGCTGATACCAGGGCTATCTCGCTATGTCTGGGCTAGTATTCTATGCTCCATGGGGGGCTTTCTTTTCGGGTGTGTATATTCTGCGCTTGTCGCGAAATGCAGCTTCGCAACTAACCATCTAACAATGTAGGATGGACACCGGCATCATCGGCTCCGTGGTAGTGATGGACCAGTTCAAGCAGAAATTCGGTTCCTTTTCATCCATCGTCCATGGTCTAGTAGTCTCCTCCATTCTGATCCCCGCGGCCTTTTCGTCGTTCTTCGGAGGGAAACTAGCCGACTGGATCGGACGGCCGAAGAGCATCGCAATCGGTGCCCTTATCTTCGGTATCGGATGTGCCTTTGAAGCTGGTGCAGTGCATCTGGCCATGTTCATCGTTGGCCGTGTCGTCGAGGGTCTCGGCGAGGGTCTATACCTGGGTACCCTGGTAGTGTACGTCCCTATCTTTTTCACCTTTATTATCCAGCCAAACATCTAATAGGCAATAAAAGATACATCTGTGAAATCTCCCCACCAAGCCAACGAGGCCCACTCACGACAGGCCCTCAACTCCTCGTCACTATGGGCCTCGTAGTCGGCTTCTTCACCTGCTACGGCTGTGAAAAGATACCTTCATCCATGGCGTGGCGAACACCATTCACCGTCCTGGCCTGCATTTCCATCGTCTTCAGTGTCGCTGCGCTCTTATGGCTAATCGATTCTCCGCGATGGCTCACGCTCCACAACCGCATCGATGACGCCACTCGCGCTTGGGAGTATCTGCAAGTAAGCGAGGCCGATCGCGAAGAACTCCTCGAAGAAGAAGAGGAAGTCGACGTTCATGAAGAGGCCCTCACGCATCCACTGGCCCCGACGGGGAGTGTCCTTGCGCCGAATACCCTCGATCAGGTGGTTTCGCGCCGTAGTCGCGTATCTACCCGTCGGACGAAGGGGAAGGGGATGGAAGAAGCCTCGCTGTTCGATGCATTCAAGCCCGATGTGCGCAATCGGACGCTCCTGGGCTTGTTTCTCATGGGTATGCAGCAGATGGCTGGGATTGACGGAGTTTTATACGTACGTTTTCTTTCCCTCGAGCTTGTTTTCCTGCACCGGCTAATACTTAAAAGTACGCCCCCATGCTTTTCGAACAAGCCGGCATGACCTCTTCTCAAGCTAGCTTCCTCGCCTCCGGCGTCTCCGGCCTAGTCATCTTCGTCGTGACAATCCCGGGCCTCATCTACGCTGACTCCTGGAGCCGGCGCGCCAACGTCATCCTCGGCGGTCTGGGGCTCACCATCACCATGTTCGTGATCGGGTCTTTGTACGCTGCCGATGCCGTCCACCGTTCCACCGGCGCTGGTCGCTGGGTCGTTATCGTTGCGATCTATCTCTTCGCTGCTATCTACAGTGTATCGTGGGGTGTGAGTTGCAAGGTCTACGCGGCGGAGATCCAGCCCCAGCGGACGAGAGCGAGTGCGACGTGTCTGGCGCATGGGAGTAACTGGGTATCGAATTTCTTTGTTGCGCTGATTACGCCCGTCCTGTTGGCGAGAAGTAGTTGTGCAGCGTACTTTCTGTTCGGGGGCTGTACGGCGCTGACGATTGTTGTTTGTGGGTTTTATATGCCCGAGACGAAGGGACGGTCGTTGGAGGAGGTGGAGAGGTGTTTTGTTAGGGGGAAGGAGGATTCATAGATTTGCTGGGTGGAGTGAGGTTGGTTTTAATGAGTGATGATAGATGATAGATATGCTAATAAAGTGATAAAGCTTGGTCCAGAGACAATAAGTCCTCCTTACTTCAGTCTGAAGATAAATATCGAATGGTTGTAATGCTAGTACTTCACCTTTGTCCGGTGATATGGTCATCATGCTTTATCCCCACAGATTCGAATTAAATCTTCCATTATGATAAACCAAATATATATTACATCATCTCATATAGTACATATACGCAGTTACTAATTCCCAGTAGCTTTCGCATACATATCCCTCGTATGCTCCCACACCTTCTTACCCACTCCACTACCCAAATACCCCTTAACCAACTCAGACTTCGCCTTAACAATAGAACTATCGTAATCCACCCGATACGCACCACTTCCCTTCGCGCCATCGGCCCCCACCGTATCCACGCCCTTAACCCGTGGCGCGAACAACGGACTCGTAGCCGCATACGCATGCCTCTCTCCGGACTCCTTGACAGAAATGAGCCCGATCGACGATAAAAGAGGCGTCAACACAAAAAGAGCACTAGTGAGTCCCCTAACAAGCGGGTTGAAATCTCGCGTGACGTTTGTGTTCACGGCGCCAGGACGGCTATGAACCCAACTAATGTTTGGATGTGCCGCGGCAAGTTGCGCCATGTAGAGAGATGTCATGGTGCAGCCGTGAGCGGCTGCATTCGAGAGACTGTAGTTTCTCCGGAGGTCGAGGTCATCTTCGATGAGCTTGCCCTCGTTTCCTGGGCTGAAGACGGAGACTACGCGGGCTAGGCGGTCTGATGAGGCGGCCTGGTTTAGGAGTGGGAGGAGGTTGTCGGCGAAGCGCATCCGGGCGTAGTAGTGGAGGCTGAGTTTGCGGTCAAGGCCTTCGGAGGTTTCTATTTCATGTTGAGTTGGTGTGAAGGGATGGGTGAAAGGGGGTAAGTACTCACCAGTCCTTCCCTGAGTGGTCAAGATACCCGCGCTCAGGAAGAGAAGGTTTACTTTTGACTCCTTTTGAGCGATCTCGCGACATGTGGTGTCGACATTCTTGAGTAGAGAGATATCACTCTTGATGAAGTCTACTGTTGCGGATTGATTGACGGCACGGAGTTCTGAGATGATCTCCGATGCCTGAGCTTCGTTGCGTCCAATCAAGTAGATGTGAGGAGCTGTCGCGTAACGAGTGAATTCCCTCGCTGTCGATAGACCGATTCCGCTAGTTCCGCCCACTACTCATCGTTAGTTGGCGTCTAAGATAGCAAAGTCATGCACATACCGAACACAGCAACCAGACCCGAACCCAGGTTCTTGATATTGGGTAGCTGCCCGCGGACCTCTGAAATGGCAACCATGTTCTCAGTTAGTTGTCGGCTTTGTATGAAAATTGGTATTATTATTAGGGAGAGGGATTTGTTGCTGTTCAATAACTATGCTGTGATTGTGATGAAATTCTAAGCCATTAGTTCAGTTGACTTTGTCGCGTTAAATAGCCGGATGGGAGATGATTGTGGCTAACGTCAGCCACGGCCCGGCTGACCAGATCCGGCAGATGGCTGAAGTCAGCCACTGCCCTACCTCAACTGCCTCATCAGTTTCCTGATGGTCTTGGGTATTGCACATGATTTAAATGTCCGAATAATATCTCTGCTGTTTACTTGGACTGGCGTTAGTCTTTCGACGAGTTTACGCAGATCCACGCGGTTAGGTCAACGCCTAGTATCAGCTCAATATATTTTCCGTCAAGAAACATGCCGAACATCCGTTATCGGCGCCTTAAGTGTCCACCACAATGCAAGGGATAAGTAGATGGCATTTCACTACCATTATTACAATGGACCAAGCAACATGGTCTAGCAACAACTACAACCACCATTAAGATGAAAATGGGCCACACCATGATGTTGTGCATTGGTTGCCAAGTAACCTTAATCCTGAGCATGTCTGTACCGGGGTGTCACAACAGCATCAATTTCGGCTGAAAATGGTAGTTTATCAATCTCATTATCATACGATAAGTCGGCTTGGCATGAGGGGTAGTCCGTACAATCGGCCGAGATGCGAGTGTACATGGCATATAAATCCCGAGAGCTCCCTGCATGCAAATCCCGGACATCCTCCTCCGTTTCAAACATTCCGAGTTCCCACAACCCCGCTATGTCTTCTCAAGTACGCGTCGCAGTTACCCAGGCAGAGCCTGTCTGGCTTGATTTGGAAGCGACCGTGAAAAAGACGTGTGACCTTATTGCGGAAGCAGCTGCGAATGGCGCTCAGTTGGTTACTTTCCCCGAGTGTTGGATCCCGGGATATCCTGCCTGGATCTGGTGGGTACAACTGCACCATGTGGCACGAATCATACAGACTGACAAATTATTATCGGTCTGCAAAGGACACGGCCTGTTGACATGCGTCTGTCATCTACTTATATACAAAACTCCCTGAAAATAGACTCCCCGCAGATGGCCAGCATCCAACAATGTGCAGCGGAGAATAAAATAGTCGTTGTTTTGGGCTTTTCCGAGAACTTGCATAACTCCCTGTATATCTCGCAGGCTATTATTGGAAGTGATGGGAAGATCCTCACCACCCGCAAGAAAATCAAGCCCACTCATATGGAGCGAACCATTTTCGGTGACTCGTTTGGAGACTGTCTGCAGAGTGTAGTCGACACATCAGCCGGTCGCGTCGGTGCTCTTTCCTGCTGGGAGCACATCCAGCCTCTGCTGAAATATCACACTTATGCCCAGAGGGAACAGATTCATGTTGCCGCATGGCCGCCTCTGCTCCCTCACAGCGAAGACGGTTCCTTGTTTTCGATGTCCAGCGAGGGTATGGATGCCAACTGGACGAGGTACACAGATGGAATGCTAACAAGTCTCCTTTCAGGTACCAGTTCCATTGCGAGGACATATGCTATCGAAAGTCAGTCTTTTGTCCTTCATACCACGACAGTGATAGGCCAGTCGGGTGTTGACCGAATGGCAACACATGGTGGTGCTCTAATGAGCACCCCTGGCGGAGGCTGCTCCGCCATCTTCGGGCCTGACGGCCGCCAATTATCGCAGCCCATTCCCAGCACAGAAGAGGGAATCATTTACGCCGACCTCGACTTGGATCATATTTACCAATCCAAAGCCTTTGTAGATGTCTGTGGACACTATAGCCGACCGGACCTTTTGTGGCTGGGTGTGGAGGGCAGTATTAAGCGCCATGTAAGGGAAAATGCAGCTGCTATGGCAGGAGAAGCGGAGCAGCAGGAGCAATAGAAAGATTGAGTGCCAGAGTGTCTTTGAGGATCAAGATATCCTGATTCTCTGCACTGCTTGACAGCGGAATCCTAGGTGGCTGACAGCAAGCCGAAAACACACCCTTGATTCCACTCTGCACCTATAAATAGCGAAAGTTCAAGCACTCACGTCATATCAAATATAAGAATTGAATGCTGAAACTCAATAGGGGAAACTTGCCCCGTTCCTGACTGTCAATTTTGACTGCCAATTTTCCAGGTCTACCGGGGTCTCGGTCCTCTGAAAAGTAGTAGTTACTGATCACTGGGGTGTGATGCTTACTATAGGTTCTATGATGTAACTACAAACAATTGAATAAAGCATTCTTCACCTGCCTTTCCAGTGATGTGAAGTTAACATATAGAATACTGGAGAGTACGGTGCATTATAACAACACTAGATTTGTGAATATGCAATTCGCATTCATCATAGAACATCAAACTATTATAAGAATAACATCAATCTCTTATAAGAATATGTATGAAGACCACCTCATCACTAGCTCGATAATGCCCTAATGTGAATGCATTAACGACTAAGACAAAGTAGTTCCCTTCATCCAGCATTATCAACTGCTCAGTGCATAATCATCATTGAATCGCATCGTCACTGCCTGGACCCGCCGGGACAGGTATAAAAACCCTTCCACCCCCAGCCCTTCTGCATTTCTCTTTTTACTTTATTCACACGCTATCACAGTCCTCACTGATACAGCTAGCCGGGATACATCTGTGTTCTTCACGTCTTTAAGGCTTTCAACTCCCCCCGTGAGATTCCGATATTGTGCCGCCAGTTTGGAACGTTTTGACGTCTTCAGAAAACCGCGGCGAGAAGTATAAAAATAAACGACAAAACGCAGGGTAATGGCTCAGAGGACGAACTCGTCGAGGAAAACAATGATGATCTAAGTCAATATCATGAATACAATGACGATCCAGCAGCGATTGACACATATAAGTGCAATTGGAAAGCATATACGAAAGGGTAGTTCATATGGGACAAGAACAACATTGGATCTACGACCACTGCCGATTTATCACGTATCCAGTACTCCCATGTTGTACCGACATGTCCACTAAGTCACCACTTAGCTGGCACTGGACTGCAGATTAGCACGCCTGAACCATGGAAGGCAATAGGATGCCGTGTTTCGTTTCCTGATGATGGATGGAGGATCACGGCAGCGAGTTGCATGTATAGCGGCTTCGCAATGCCGCTCTCCTTTGTTACACATAAGGCATCCAGATCTAGTACTTTTACACAAGGGTCCTGATACTACGATGGCACCAATGTCTTATCGGTTCCGAAAATATCAATATCACCTGAAGTTTCGATACCAACCACTAATACAAGATTTGACCGATTTGTACTTCTAGTACGCCCAGACACACAAAGTCTCGGTATGAAGTCGGAGACAACAGCGCTATAAAACAAAGAGAATGCTCCAAGCTTCATAGTCATTTGCCCGGGTCGTTGAGAATGTTCGCGTCAAACCGGGGGCTATCAGAACCTGCGCGGTATTCCGCGCCTATGCGACTATCCGCATGCAAATTATAGCTTTGAGGACAATATACTCCATTCCGCTGGCATTTTCTTTGACTGGGATTAGCATTACCAACATTAATTTCGAAGGTCGATCGACATGTGTATAACATGCGTCTCAAAACCCGTCCACCCATCTACTCCCAACACCGAACTCAGCTGCTCAATATCAGTATAATGACGGTTGTTACTTCTCGACGGAAGATCCATGGAGAAAACCCAGACCAAAAGTATCCAGTTATAACAGCGTTAACTAGTGGCCCGAGCCTGAGGTATAGACATATTCATCAGCCTTTACATTTCCGCAGTTGCCAACAACAATTATAAAGCGGAAGCTCAAAGAAGACCCGCAAGACCCACATCATTACCACAATAGACGATGAAGGGATAATGATTGGCTCATTCTGCCTGCTTCCATTAAAAGAAGTGGTCATTCACAAGCTACCGCCGCTGTGGACAACATTCTCACCGTTAGTATCAGAAGTCCCTTATACTTCTTTTGCCTTCCTCTTGGAATAGGCAAACATGGAACTGCAGCTATACTTCCAGTGGCATCACTCACTCGTCTGAATCTTTCCGTCTCTGGCGGCTTTCGTTGATGAACTCCCCATGTTCATTGCCTAAGAGGAGCAGGATATAAGAATGTGACTTCAATACCACTGCCCGTCACATCAGCTACGTTCGTTTCGCCCCCAATAGGAAATCCACCGATAATGCTCCCCGAGTGCTATTCCGCATGAAAAGGATGACCAAAAATCGGTCAGCGAAATTGGGGACTGCATTGCTCTGCCTGCCTGTTGCATCGGTCACGAAAATCCTCCACAATAATGATCTGCGTGGCATCTAGCTTCTTGCCACCATCGGCTGCTAGCTTGCTGGTGCATCAGATCATATGCCTGCTATGATTACTGTGTGGACGACAAACGGATTATTCACAGATTCGCGTCTAATACAGCGCAATTTGGTAAATGCAGACTCGATCGTCGCTTCGTTATTCCCGATACACAAGCGATAATAAGTGAACGAATCAATACCGCTGAAGCCCGTGTTCAGCGCATCGCAGAGCAAGCCACAGGATTGAGGTTCAATCGGAGAATCATTGTAATTTTGCAGACTTTACAGGCCACTGTACACAGCTGGCAAATGAATGTAACAGAAACTCGCCTCAGGAACATGACAATGCAAATCATCTCAGATATGGCTATCGAAGCTGGTTTCTTACGTTTGGGTGACAAGCTCCCGTTGGGGGTGACATATGAGGCTTAGAGTAGGAGAAGAGGAAGTGTGCGGGACTGCTGAACTGCTTACCACAATGTGGCTTCTGGAGAAGAATTTAATTCATGATAAACTGACTCGCTGGTTGGAACCGATCATATAGTCAGAACCAGATTACTATGTCATCTGATAATACAGATATGTTTTCTACTATATTCTAACAGTGCCACGTAGACGAAACAACCAGTAATTCCATTTTTCTTTTGGAAAGAAACAACCAGCCTATATATCCTTCCTCGCATGCCGACTATACCTCTTCCTCAACGTCTCCCCGTACTGCACACCAAATCAATTAGCCCGATCCCCATTGCTCCCATTAAAGGAAAAGAAAACTCACCTTCATCAACACAACCGGAATGGGAATAAACGCACAGCCCAAAAAGGCCAACGTCGAACTTGCCCAACCCACCCCCAGATTCTTATACATCGCCGTCGCAAACAGCGGAAACCCGGCACCAAACGCACTCCGAAACAAATCATTCCCAGCGAGCACACTCGCCGCATACTCCGGGTACGCATCGGAGAGGTAATTCAGCACGGGATTGAAAAGCAAGAACGCACCGACGGAGAAGAACCCACTGCCCACAATCGGCATGATCCAATGAATAGAGGGACGGGCACTCCATCCGAACCAGAAAAGACAGATAGGGATGAAGAACCCGCCTACAATAGCGGGCGGGAGACGCGCCTCCGGGGGAACGTTTCCTGTTTCGGGGTCGAATCTTGGTTCGAGGTATTTGTGCATCCACCAGTAATATGGGGGGATTGTTATCAGAGCGCCGGTTAGGATGCCGATGTAGGCTAAACCTTGCTGGCCAAGGTTGAAGCCGTAGATTCCTGCGAAGACGATGTTGAAGGATTCGAACCATACGTAGAGTAGACCGTAGATTAGGGCGATGTATAGGTTCAGAAGGAAGACCATTGGCTCGGTGAAGTTGAGCGTGAAGGGCCGGACGAGCGTCATCATTGCGAGTTCGCGGGCTGTGAGATGTTCGCTGGCGAGTTCGGGTTCGCTGCGCAAGTTGGACCGGTTGGTCAGTTTGCGGAGTCGGCGGGCGCGTCGGTACAGGATGTTGCTGGAGGAGGTCTCTGGAAGGAAGATTATTAGTATGACTAGTGTGAATCCTGATAGCCACATTAGTTCCCAGATCGTCCAGCGCCAGCCTTTGGCTTGGGCGGCGAATCCGCCGACTAGGGGACCGAGCACGGGGCCGCAGATGGCGCTGATGCCCCAGATGCCGATGCCGTAGGCGCGTTTGCGAGGGGCGAACATGTCGGAGAGTGTGGCGCCGCCCTGGTGCTGTTAGTGCAGGACAGTGGATGAGGGGGAGGAGAGGGGTACTGTTGCGAGAGCAGGCGAGCCAAAGAAGCCAGTCAGGAAGCGAAAGGCTAGTAGTGTGCCCAGATTTCCGGCCAATGCAACTGGGACTTGCAGGGCTACAAACACGATCAGTGTCGCGATGTAGACGGAGTTGCGCCCGATCTGGGGCACCTCGCTCATGGGCGACCATAGCAGCGGACCCAGTCCATAGCCAGCCACAAACAGAGTCAGTCCTAGAGTAGCCGCTACTTGACTGATCTGGAACTCGGACATAACTGACTCGATACCGGCGCTGTAGATGGCGCTGCCGATGTACACGCTGAAGGTGAGAAGGCAGATTTCAAAGGTCACCACGACTTTCTTCCATAGCGGCCAGTGTTGGGGGTTCTGATGAGTTAGCTTTCGCTCAGGATAGAATAACATATGCCTACCTCCGGATCGCGATCACTCCACCAGTCGACAATGGTCACGTCGCGTCCCTTCTCTGGGTCGATGACGGCCCCGGTGATGCCTTGATACCGATGGCCATTATGCGACCATGCCGTGGAGGGCACCCTCGTCATTGACTCGGTATCGGCGGCGCTGAAGCGCTCAGGCAGTTCTTCATCGGCATCGGGACGACCAGCGTAAGCCATGCGGCCCGATTTGTTGAGGTTGACGTACTGCTGCCATAGCGAGGGATCTTTTTGCTCCTCGAACCGGAAGTACCGGCCGCGCGAGACAAGGCGGATAAATTGGCCGAGGATGGAATCTTGGATGAGGCAGGACATTCTACCTATACTATTTTCTATCGACGGACTTTACAGAGCTATGGTCTACCGGGATGAATTTTATAGGTGTGAACCCTGCTCGGTAACTGGTTTGGTTCCTGAATCAAGCAAGCCAGATGTATGATGTAGCCATGATCACACCTCGCCACCTGTAGTCAGCCAGACTCAATTCTGGTCTGGATGCTGCAATCGCAAACTCAGATCAACCAAATAGGTCTGGAACTTTTCACTATCTGAATAACAATCATCAATTCCTTGTCAAATTCCCATGTTATCATTCTCATGATGGTAGAATGTGGACGGAGAAAATATTATGATGCTGATCCCACGGGTCTCACCCGCAGGTGGGGTAGGGTTAGGTTAGGCTGGAATCCCAGTGCCAGTGGGATAGTAAGAGATATCTCATTACTAAATCACAGCTCTGGAACCCGTCGATCTTTTACCAAAAACTCCTTGCGACCGAGGCAATTGGCGCTGCACCCCGGATTGAGAGACAGCTGATCGATCGTGCCCCAGCAACGTCATGTATCCCCCACCCATCGGCTTTGACCGACCAGCAGGATGAGCCAACCACCATCATGTTTGCTTTCTTAGTGCCCTATTAGTGTTGATTAGACCCTGCGCGAGGGACCCCCTTGGCTGAACCCCCCCGCATGACCCCAAAATCTCACGCCGCGTGGCTCTCATCGAACATTCATTTCATTTCCCCCAGGAAGCCATATCCCGTGCCTGCCAGCGCTGGTACCATCTCCGGTCTCCCGCCTGCCAAGCCTTACCCCGAAGCCTTTCACTCGCATCTCGACGGCCTGCTTCCGTTAGTCCTGAACGGAAGTTGACCGAGCCTCGTCCCCAGATTGTCGGTCTGTCCCACCATGACTCTCAGGACCGGGTCTTGGGGGTGGCACGAAGAGGCTCGATCCCCGGATTGTCCCCCGCAGCCAAGGCGCTCCGTCCCACAACAAACCCAGCGCGTTGTCGGATCTTTGTTGCTTTCCAACTCGCCAAGCTGTCCAGCATGTCAAGCGGTGATAAGCTCGTCGCGACAAGTCGGATTTCAACGTGGGATGTCTCCCTGGTGGATATCGTTCCCTGCGCGGTCCATTGGCTGCTCTCTCCCCGATTCCCCCGCATGATCACATTCGTCGTAGTGAATTCCCTCCCCGGCTGGTTTGTCCTACCTCACCATGAATAGATGCCGTTCCGACTGGCTGTCGGTAACCGACGTAGTTCTGATGGGGGTAACTGCTATAAATGCCCCTCCTCCCTTGCAGAGGCCAGCTGGTTCATAAATCCGTTGTAGCTCGTCCAACCTTTCTCCAGTTGACTGTGTGCAATCATGGCGGGTTCCAAGAAACCAGTTAACATTTTTCGTTTGCGCAATCTCGCTGACCCCAAGGAGGTCTTCAACTGGAGACTATGGTTTGCTGTGCTCTCCTTTGGCCTCATGGGCGCTGCCCGTGGTGTCGACGAGGGGTTGATCTCGGGTGCTTTCAACTCCAAGGACTTTCAGCGCACTATTCATCTGGATTCGTACAGTGAGGTGGAACAGACCAACATCAAAGCGAATGTGTCCGCCATGGTGCAGATTGGCTCTGTGGGAGGGGCACTCTTGTACGCCTTCACCAAAATGATCCGTCAAGTCCGTCTGCTGACTCTGTTTTAGTGCATTCCTTGTGTGCGACCGTATTGGACGGCTGTGGGCAACTCGCCAGCTGTGTGTCCTTTGGATTCTGGGAATTGCCATCTTCATGGGTGTTGGTGCCAACGGTAGCTTGGGTGCTGTCTACGCCGGTCGCTTCGTGGCCGGACTGGGGGTAGGCCAGACTGTAGTCGTAGGACCAGTCTACCTCGCTGAGATCGTAAGTGACACATCTTATTCCCTGTCGAACTGAATTGACCAGCAATAGGCCCCTGCATCCGTCCGCGGTCTCTGCACTTGTGTCTTTACCGGCTTTGTCTACCTGGGCATTGTGCTCGCCTACTTCACCAACTATGGCTGCCAATTGCATATGGGCGACCACACCCACAAGCGATGGGTAAGACATCATTCACCTTATCCATAGCAGCTTACTAACCCTACCTAGGAAGTTCCAACTAGTCTTCACATCATGTTTGCCGGTCTCATCTTCCTCCTATCCTTCGTGCAGTACGAATCGCCTCGCTTTCTTGTCAAGAAAGGCAAGCCGGAAGAAGCATTGAACAACCTCGCGCGCCTCCGCAACCTCCCTCCGGACCATGAATACGTTGTGGAGGAGTTTACGGGTATCCAGAATGCCCACCAAGCGGAGATGGAGGCTACCATGGGTGCTGGCTGGTTAGGTATTGTCAAGGAGGCCATCATGGTCCCGAGCAACCTGTACCGACTGTACCTCGCCGCCATGGCACAGCTGCTCTCCCAATGGTCCGGAGCGGGATCTATCACGCTGTACGCACCAGATCTGTTCAGTCTCCTTGGCATCACAGGGTCCAATGAGTCTCTGCTTGTGACAGCAGTGTTCGGTATCGTCAAGCTGACCGCGGCGGTAATCTGCGCTCTGTTCCTGGTGGATGTGATTGGTCGCAAACGCGCCCTACTCCTAGGTATCACGTTGCAGGCTATTTCCATGATCTACGTCGCTAGCTTCCTCACTGCTGTTCCTGAGATGGGCATCGTCGATGACTTCGTCCTGCCGGAGTCAAAGAGGGGTAGTAGTCGTGGAGCCATTGCTATGATCTACATCTCCGGAGTAGGCTGGGCATTGGGCTGGAACTCTATGCAGTACCTGCTGACAGCGGAGCTGTTCCCGCTACGTATCCGCGCTTTGGCTACCTCTGCTGCTATGACCCTGCACTTTGTCAATCAGTATGGTAATTCCCGGGCGGTACCAAATATGTTGCTGGGTACTGCGGAGGGTGGCATCACCCCCAAGGGCACGTTCTGGTTCTTCTCAGCTGTGACGGTGCTGGGTGGACTGTGGGTGTGGTTCAGTGTGCCTGAGACAGCAGGACGGAGCTTGGAGAGTATGGACCGGTTGTTCGCATTGCCATGGTATCAAATCGGACGGCATGGCAACCGTGATGCCGACCAGCAGGACCAGGTGGTGGCGGATAAACAGCAGCAGGTGGAGGATGGATTTGGAAGGGCGGAGCATCGCGAGCGGGTGTAACTGTTGCTTGATATGTTACTTAGCTAGGAGCTTGATCTATATGAATTAATTGCAATTGAAGAAGCAGATTGACCAGATGGATCCCCTGTAATGGAAGCAATAGCTGACCGCTTGTGCATCCCCATGTGCATCTCAGCCCGCCAACTGGCGTGTCGGAGAGCTCCGATGTTATCTATGATTGGCTGGCAGCCCCGCTGGCCCGGTCAGATGACAAGCACTGTGTCATCCCTATCTCAACTGTTGCTTCTTCTGCTCTCTCCTTGCATGGTTATTTTCCTTTCTTATTCACTCTGTTCCATTCTCATTCATTCATTGACAGTTTTTAAATATCTTGTCGATCCCCCCTCGTTCGTGGTTGTGCCATTGACTCCCTCACCGCCGATCCCAAAGGACAGCTTCCAGCTTTAAGCTTCCCCTCACGATGACTACCCGCTATCGTGTTGAATGTAAGTTGAACTGTCCTTCCTTTCAGATACCATTGACTCAACTAATTACCCTCTCAGATGCTCTCAAGGTAGGCAGTCATCTCTGCTGCCAGTTCATGCTAACTTGCTCAGTCTCACCGTCGAGACCAATTGGTATTCCCCCATTCCCAGTAGCAATTAGACGTGGATAGCTAACAAGTTCCTAGATTGAATGGATCAAAGTACGACTCCTGCCACCTTTAATTCAAATACCTCAATACTGAACTATGTAGGGCCTTCTGGCCGTCCCCTTTGTGCTGCACTCGCAGCCCACCGCCGTCTACAAGGAACACAGTGAGAACCTGATCGCCGTAGCGGCCGACACGCACCAGCGCTATGCGGAGATCTTCCGCGACGTGGAGATGCTCATCCGCGACCACAGTAGCTTTCCCCTTCTTTCTTTATACATGGACAATCACAGCTGACAATCACAGTAACCCACCAAGGAGACGATGCCCCAGGGAAATCCAAGCTCAAACTCCTAGTCCCCACCGTAGGCACCTTCTTCACCCCCTTATACCTAGTCGACGCCTTCCGCCACCAAGACGCCCAACGCTTCATCAGCCGACGACGCTTCGTGGCCCCTTCTTTCAACGACATCCGTCTCATCCTCAACTCAGCCCAACTCCTCGGCCTGGCCCGCACCACCGGTGTCGACCTCGTCACCTTCGACGGAGATGTCACGCTCTACGACGACGGCGCCTGTCTCACCGACGACAATCCCGTGATTCTGCGCATCATGCGCCTCCTCCTGCAAGGACAGAAAGTCGGCATCGTCACGGCAGCGGGCTACACCGACGCCGCGAAGTACTACGAGCGCCTCAAGGGGTTGCTCGATGCGATGTACGAGTCAACCGAAATGACAGATGCCCAGCGCGCCGGACTGGTCGTCATGGGCGGAGAAAGTAACTTTCTCTTCCGCTATGACCATGCCTCGCCATCTAAGTTGAGTTATGTGCCGCGTGAAGAATGGCTATTGGAGGAGATGAAGACGTGGCAGGAGGGGGATATCACGCAGCTGTTGGATATCGCCGAGTCATCATTGCGCGCGTGTGCGAGTAATTTGAATCTCCCGGTCGCGGTGTTGCGCAAGGATCGCGCGGTCGGGGTATATCCTACGGAGAGAGGGCGGATTAGTCGCGAGCAGTTGGAGGAGACGGTGTTGGTGGTACAGAATACTGTCGAGCGGTCGGAGGTGGGAGCTAGATTGCCCTTTTGTGCTTTTAACGGTATACTTTTCCCCTCTACTCTTTATGTAGGTGATGGTTATGCTGACGCCTATTTAGGCGGCAATGATGTGTTTGTGGATATTGGTGACAAGTCATGGGGTGTGCGCGCGTGTCAGCGCTACTTTGGGGGCATTGAGCCGGCGAGGACACTGCATGTTGGCGATCAGTTCTTGTCGGCGGGAGCGAATGATTTCAAGGTATCCCTATTCCTTATAATTTGAATACTATACTGGATGCTAATAATGACAGGCCCGACTGGCATCGACGACAGCGTGGATCGCAAGTCCCGCCGAGACAGTGCAACTCCTGGACGAGCTGCAAGGGATATAATCAGGGTATTTATTAATTCAGTAGTTACTTAAGATGATGTGAGAGTAAGAAAATAGTAGTTAATCTTACTGCTCCATCGGCACCATACCAATAGTTAGTTGAGTTGTGCAGATCGGCACGGCGCTTATCAAGCAGCGGGAATGTCTGACTAACTTTCCACAGTATAAGAATCCACTAGCAGTAGCCACTACTACTTTAATCTACTTTAATCCTAAGTATTTATTTACATCTCTCTTCTTCTATCCACCACCACCATCACCACCACACCAACTACCTAATTAATCCGGTATACCACAACCCACAATGACCAATCCCGAAACTACATCAACAATAACAATCCCCATCATCGGCGCCTCCATCACCGGCCTCACCACCGCCCACTCCCTCCTCTCGCACTTCACCACATCCAACAATATTACCAACAACAAGGGCCCAAAAATTAAAATCCTCCTCATCAACCCCACCCCAACCTTCTACTGGGCCATCGCGGCCCCGCGCATCCTCACCAAACCAAGTGCTTTCACAGAGTCACAATACCTCATCCCGATCGCGGATGGATTCACAAAATACTCCCCGGATGTCTTCGAATTCATCCTAGGGAGAGCAACCTCTCTCGATTTCGATAAAAAGTTACTGCAAGTTGAGGAAGTCACCGACACTGAGAGTAATAAGTCACTGAGAGAAATCAAATACGATTACTTGGTCATCGCGTCGGGGAGTACACCATCTGCTTCGTCAACGGAAACATTATTCCCCGGTGAGGATGGGGAGAAGGAAATATACCCCTTCAAACTATCCCCCACATCTACCACCACCATCACGGAGGCGATTAAATCTGCCCAGACCACCATCTCCACCGCGAAAAGAATCACAGTCATTGGTGCTGGCCCTATTGGTGTGGAAATAGCGGGTGAATTGGGTGATCTCATCACCCCCTCTTCCTCTTCTTCCTCCGAAGGAGAATCGAGGAAAGAAATAACCCTCATCTCCTCCACACCACGCATTCTCCCCACATTAAAACCCTCCGCCAGCGAAACAGCCACATCTCTCCTCACTAATAAAGGCGTGCGAGTCCTCACTGATCAGAAAGTCATTTCTGTCTCTTCTAAAGAACAGGGGGGTTATGAACTCAAGCTTAATAACGGGGAGACGCTCGAGACAGATATCTACATCCCGACTATCGGAGTCCTGCCTAATAGTTCTTATATTCCCCCGGAAGTACTCGATGAGCGTGGCTGGGTGAGGGTTGATGAGGAGTTGAAGGTGGAGGGTGTGGAGGGGGTGTATGCGGCGGGGGATATTACCACTCATAAGCAGAAGTTGTCGTTTAAGGCGGATGAGATGGCTGGGGTGGTGGTGGGGAATTTGGTGGATGATATTGGTAATATTAATGGTGTTGGGAAGGGGGGTAAGGGGAGGGGATGGTGGAGATGTGGTGGTGGTGGGAGGAAGACGTATGATGAAGGTAACGATGTGATGATGGTGGTTCCTGTGGGAACTTCTGGCGGTACAGGGCAGGCGTTTGGGTGGGTGTTGGTGAGTTTTATGGTGTGGTTGGCCAAGGGGAGGGATTATTTTATTTGGAAGGCTAAGGGGTATGTGTTTAAATAGACTACCTTTACTGTGTACTGCCATCATGTTATTGTACTGTACTTAATTCGGTATGCTCATAACCTTTCATCATCATAGCCTGACTCTATGTCTAGGCGTTTATCGCTGCTTTCTGCGCTAAACATTCTCGTAGCAACTCCACGTCGCATTGTTCACACTCGCCCGACCAGACAGAATGTTCACGGTGTCCTGCAGCTCCAGCCAGAACTCCGTCTTGGGCCGGCGGCGAGCCCAATCCGTCTCGGTCGCTTCCAGTCCGTTCGCTCCGCCCATCGGCGAGAACAACACCTGCGAGCCCTTGATGCCAATGACCGATGCAGACAGCTCATCGGCCGCAATCTCATCCGCAGACTTGCCTGCATAGCTCTCCAGGTGCAGCATACACTTGGTGGCCATCCGCAGCGCCCGGATACGGTCCATCGGCGACGGCTTGCCACCCTGCTGGAAGTGTCCCGGTACCGCCGCACGGCTCTCAAAGCGTCCCTTGGCCTCCTCCTTGATCATGTCGGCCACCACCTGCGTCGTGTACGTGCTAGACGCGCACTCGTTGCGCAGGATGATCTTACCCGCGCGGTTCGCTCCCTTATCGCGTGCAAAGTTGTCACGCAGGAAGTCAATGTCGCGGGCCAGCATTTTAATGTCGATGCCCTCCTCGGGAATGTACACGGCCACCGCGCCCACGGACAGACCAGCCGTCGTGGCGATGTAACCCGATTTGCCACCCTGCGTCTCGATGACGAACACACGGCGACGAGAAGACGAGGCCGACTGGCGGATGGCATCGCAGAAGTCGATGAGTGTGTTAAGGCAGGTGTCGCTACCCAGCGAGTATTCTGTGCCCGGCACGTTGTTGGAAATAGTTGCCGGCAGCACGGTCATGGGGATCTTGAACTCGGGGTACTTCTCGCGCGCCTGACGAAGCTGGCTGACGGCGGTGAATGCCTCAAATCCACCCACCACGAACAGCGCGTCAAAGCCAAACTTCTTGAAGCTCTTGGCTGTCGTCGCGAGGTCATCGCCGGGCAGACCACGGTTGGTACCGATATCCGAACCACCCTCGTTGACCCAGCTGTCCGATTCCTGCCACGCCACCTCGCGCACGGAGCAGATCGGAGTGTCGTCATAGTGCCGGCAAAGACCAGGGAAACCGTTGTGAATAGCCAGGGGGGTGTGGCCGCGAGTCAGGCAGTAGGCAACGGCCGCACGAGTAGCCTGGTTCATACCACCGGCGGGGGCGCCAACGTGGATAATACCGATGCGCATTCTCTGCGAGCTGTTAGCTCAGTACCCAACGATTTCCAATGTGACATACCTTGTTCTCTGGGAGGAGCAGCTTCGGGTGGTCGGGCGTGGAGGTGTTAATGTATGAATAGTGGTACTCCTTGAATTCCGAATCGCGGAGGGCCATAGCTTCGGCGAACTCCTTGTTCTGGATGTGCTTGGTGACCGTCTTGGTGTGCTGCACGGCGTCCATCAACGGCATGCGCAGGATCTTGTTCTCGCGGATGGTGATGACCGGGGACGGGGCCCCGGGCTGCATGTCCAGCACCGCGCGGACAGCCTCAACACCCTGCAACGTGGACAGCCAGCGGTCGTAGGCACAGGCAGCACCACCTCTCTGAGTGTGACCCAGCACAGTCACACGAGTATCCAGGTTCAACCGCTCCGTCAGGATATCCTTAATCTTCGAGCTCGAAATCTTGTTGAGATGGCGATCCTGGGCACCTTCGGCCACGATAACGATCGTCCTGCGCTTTCCACGCTCCTTTCTGTTCTGCAGGGAGTTAGCGATGTCTCTGAGAGCTCTTCACGAGTCTCTGATCAACCCACCTTGGTGATGATAGCACACATGTCATCCTCCCATCCGTCCTTGGGCGGCATTTCAGGCACGAACAGCCAGTCGGCACCGGTACTGATAGCGGACATCAAGGCCAGCCAACCGCAGTGACGACCCATGACCTCAATGACGAATCCACGCTGGTGGGAAAAGGCAGTATCGAAGACATCGTCGACGGCGTCACAAATGCGAGTGAGGGAGGAGTAGCAACCGATGGTAGCGTCGGTGCCGGACATGTCGTTATCGATCGAACCCACCAATCCGACGATGTTCAGAATCTGGTATGGCTTGACCTGCTCTTCGGTCAATTCGCCCGTCTCGACCAATTCCTTCAACAGACCGGGCCACTCGGAACGGAACAGGTCGGCACCAGTCAAACTGCCATCACCACCACAGACGACGAGGGCGTCAATGCCACGGAGGACCATGTTCTTGGCAGCGCGCAGACGACCGGGGCGCTCACGGAAGGTCATGCAGCGGGCGGAACCGATCAAGGTACCACCGCGGGACAACCAGCCGCGGACATCCTCCCAGTGAAGCTGACGGATCATGTCGCCGCCATTGACGAGACCCTCGTAACCTTCGTAGACGGCGAAGGCCTCACAATCGGAGTGGATGGCCATCCGGACGACAGCCCGGACGACACCGTTCATACCGGGAGCATCGCCACCAGAGGTCAAGACACCGATACGGCGTCTCTTGGGCGGTTGCACGGGAGCTTGGGTGGGAGCCATCGTGCGATGGGATTATGTGGGGGGAGGGTGTTCAGCAATTGTTCGGGAAGAGCAACAGCTGAACAAGAAAGGTTTTTTTAGAAAACAAAAGCTGGAGAAGAAAGAATGGAGTAATGGAGAGAAGAGGAGAGGCAAAGAGATAACTAACTTGGTGTTTGAAAGGGTGGGGGAGAAGAGCAGCGCAGGTGCCGGTGAGAAAAAGCGGGTGTGGGCAACCAGTACGTCACTGACTCCGGCCGTCACTGCCCCGCTATACAAATACCTTTATTATTTGTTCCTTTTGTAACAAAAGTAAACTGACTGCCCACCACGGGGGAGGAAAATTCCCTGGTCTGCAGGTGAATGGGCTAGATTCTCGTCGAATGCCGATCGGGCGGATGACCTTGCTGCAGGCTGCAATGGGGAGATGCTACTCCAGTAATAATAATATTTAATAGCAAGGAATGTTCTTCCTCCGGCCATTTCCTCTTTCGGTCTGCAAAAGCACACCTGATGTCACCGCCTCTGCTGGATTGGGACTAGTGCGGGACAATTCACGTGATGGATGGGTTAGGGCCCGTGCTGCACGTGATAGCCATAAACGCTAGTCCCAAACAAGTAGACACGCCCCTAATCCCTGGTCGCTGATTGAACGATGCTACCAGCTATACAGTACTTACCTGGAGTTGTTAAGGAGACAGGTGGCATGATAAAGACTCCTTTTGCTTCTTTCATCTCACCTCACTACCCCTGCAACGTGTTGAGTGCATGATATCTGGACATTTACTCAAGCATGATGTTACGCTGAAGTACTTCTTCCACTGCCGGACCCCTGTGGTCCACCCCCAATGCCCGGTTTGGCGGTGGAGATATGACAACATAGTCACCTCCAGCTACAAAGTACCGCTGTACGGAGTACTGAATGCAATCATATACTGTGTACTGTTTCTTATCTATCGCCTGTACCTTCGAACCCGGGGCACGATGATTCATAGGCTGGATGCTGCTACACACTCGACAGTGGCACTATTCCGCCGGGACCGTGGTGCAACACTGGTGACACGATTCGTACACAGGAAGTGGCGCGGTTTATCTCTACCCCTGTTCAAACAGCATCCCAGTACAACCACTTCATCTTTCAACGAAATTCCCAGGTTCAATGAAAGTCTGGACTATCACAAGATCCATGGCGCCACCATGTACACCAGACACGAAGCCTTCGCTAGTACTAGGCAAACACCCTGCTAGCTGACACCCGTCCACGTTAACCTGCCATCAATGCTCGGAGACGAAGACACGCAATTCAACCTACTAAAAATTTCACTAATAACCAGATGCCCATATTCCCACTTCTTGCTGAACCCCCATGTCCCTGTTACTATCATGTGTACATCTCCTCTGACATCGCATGAACCACTCAACCTTTCCATCCCCCTCTTATACCCTCTTCACCCAGCATCTTTCAACGAGCAAGCCCGGCTAGCTCAATCGGTAGAGCGTGAGACTCTTAATCTCAAGGCTGCGGGTTCGAGCCCCGCGTTGGGCTTTACTTTTTGCTTTTGAAGGTTTTTACCTCTCACGGTGTGGTTCGTGATGGGGAAGCATACAAATTTTTCTTTCTGGATCCGAAGCTGTAGTGGGCCCACCAGACCCACCTCAGACAAATTGGCCAATAATATGGGTCGCTTAGCAGTTCCTCCAAAAGTGCTCCGTAGGAAGTACAATTTACGTACTGTTTCGATATTCTCACACTTATGAGGTGAATATTTGACTATCTGTTTCTGTGTATAATAGTGGTCATCGTGGATGATCTCGGCACATAATTAGACTATGTTAAGTAGTTTATTGAATGCCGTGGTGGGACTGAACTTCAATCATAGGATATGATGGTCCTGGCTATGACCCAACTACTACTACCCGATAAATATATAATCGACAGTACTAACACTGGAATATTCATACATACATTCAACAGCCACTATCACATAGTATTTCAATCCCACTTACTTATTTCCTCTTCATAATCAGCTACACTGCATGCCAATCACACTCACCGCACCCCGTCTCCTCTCTCGCCAACTTATTTATATCTCCCCCCCTCGGCGCAAACTTCACCCCCCTCGACAGCTTCGACGCCAAATACAACCAACCCACCGCATTCCCAACCGTGGTATTCGCATCAGACAGTCTCCTAAACCCTGATTTTCCCTTATCCCGAGACACCTCATCAACACTAAAAATCCTCAAAATACATCGAGCAATTCCCTCCTCATCCCCCTTGTCGACCAAGATAGCATTCTCCGATTCATCCACAAAAGGAAACAGCTCGGCTTCCCGAACAGCAACCACCGGTGTCCCCTTCTGAATAGCTGCAAGAAGCATCTCAGGGATCCCATGCAATGTGGATAGCTGAACGAGTACTCTTGCGTTCGTGAGTAGGGCGTTCCACATTTGATCGACGGCTCCGATGGGGACGATGCAGACGGATGCAGATAGAGTCTCGCTGCTGTCGATTTGGGACATTGCTGCGTCGTAGAAAACGGTACTTTCGGGGGTTCGGAATGGGCCGCGGTGGCAGATTAGGAGCTTGGGGACTTGGCGGCTTGGATGCTCTTTGGTGTAGATGTCGCAGAACTTTTGGTATGCGTGGAGAAGGCAGAGTGTTCCGTCTCCGGGTCGAAATTGGGATAGGTGGAGGATGTATTGCTCTAACGCATGGGAGTTTAGTATGGCTAAAGGGCCGGGTTTAGGGATCTTACCCTCTGGATAGCGTATGATGGTCATCTGAAGCGTTCGACATAACGAGCTGAATTCACGACCGTAGAAGCCGACGTCCCAATCAGTTAGGGACTTGTTTTGACCATCGAGTCTATACTGCATCAGCATGCCTGCAAGTCATAGAAGGGTGGAGACAGTACTGGTCAACAGAGAATGACATATAACCAACATTCTCCTCTGGCATTATACGCGGCGCAAGCTCCTTAGGGAGTAGCGACACCACCAAGTCCACGTGGGTTAGCCGTGTTCGGATGAAGTCCCACGCTCGGGACTGCGGGCTATTGGGATCATTCAGTGACTCTCCCTGGGGCTGGAGACTGCTCTCAAAAATGACTGGCCGCCCGGGATCTTGTTGCTTGGACAGGAGAGCCAATGTTAAGAGCGGCGCACTGTCAATAATCACTACGTCGACGCCTCCCTCCGCACGAGGCCTGAGGGGCCCATTCTCGCACAACCAGTATCTCCTGGCGTTGGAGTATGCAAAGTCGAGGATCAGTAGCTCATCGTTGATGGTGATATCTGACAGCGGATCACCTAGTCCTTCCAGGGTGTCCTGCATTTTTCGAATGAGGGGAATCATTCCTGGACGTGGCTTCGGCACAAACCTGTAAGAACGATGTAAGAATCACAATTAACCGGCTCCAGGATATAAGACTCATACCATCTAACATGAACCCCAACGCTCTCGGTAAACCTTGACAAGGCATGTCTGGTCGGAACATCAGGCTTGCCTTGACAGGTCATACTGAAGAAAGCGACCTTCACCTCCCTTTCCCTCAGGTCCTGGGCAAAATATTGAGCCAAAGACCATGTGGCAGGATCGACTGTTTTCTCGTAGTCTTCCGCACTAGCAAGATGTACATGGTAACCTCTGTCAACATCCACTGAACCGTCAAAATTTATATGATTATGTAGCACATGGCCAATGCCAAAAGAACTATACGAGTCAGCATTTAGCCCTCACCATCAAGGCATACTAACCGAATGCACTTCCGCACCATTGAATCTGCTCGCTCGTCGAGCTCCTTCTTATGCCACCCGGCAAACGTTGTCAGCTCGCCCTGGTCATTATGCTGTCTTTCACGGTCCTTATGGTCCAAAACCAACGGGACAATGTCGAGTTCGCTCCATAGTCGCGAGCATAGTGACGGACATCTATAGACAAGAGACTGATGCAGAGCAGCGCTAACTATCTTTTCAGCATGCTTTTCCCTGTACCTTTTCAGCTCCGTGATGATGGTGTCGGTTGGATAGTCTGAAACATTTGGACGCGGAGCATGCCAAGTACACACGAGAAAGTCGACCAGATCGGTCAGGTTCCGGATAGCAATTGCAACTCTTCCGCTGGAATTATCGCTGATGAGCTCTGTAATTCCAGCGTATATGACCTAGTAGTTTCCTTCATCAGCAACTCAATGTCATGTCTAGAAAGCAATGTTTCATCCTACATTTAGTGGTCTTCCTGACCAGGACTCTGCGTCGAAATGTGAGCTAATGGAACTCATTTCTTATGATAATTGGAACCCTATAATGATTATTTTAATCATGACCGATCATACTCACCATGTAAAATAAACAGATCATAACGCTCTTATACCCTCTACTATACGTGCTTTTGCCTTCCGGATTGCTTTCCGTACAAACCCTACTTGGGCTGTTGTTGCCGAACGCCGGGCCTGGAGCGGGGAAACTTTCGGCGTCCCAGAGGAACAAAGACGCCCCCTCTCGCTTGACGCACAAATGACATCTATCAGTATTTCTTCTAAGTGCATTGTGCCCATCGTATGACAAGGAGTACAACATACAGTAGCCAGACATCTCGCTTGGAAGGAACAGTCGCGTATTATCCGGCCGACGGCGGCATCAACTCGGAAGGTAAGTGTTGGTTCGGCCGAGTAGGACCTCCATACATTCCTTGCAACTATCAAGAAGCTGATGATGGAACGAAGTATGCTACTTAGATCTATACTTTCATATAGCGAGAGAATCATCCTTCACACTAGTGAGTGAATATGGTTGTAGCAGTCCGTTATAATTCCTCGACATTAAAATGAGCTATATCCAAAAATCAACAAGGCCACGGAGAAATGAGCAGGCCTTTCCCAGGGCAGCTACGAATGGCCTGAATCTCCAGATGGTGTCGAAGGAATCATACAGACTTTATTACTAACCAGTGTGCCTGCTCTTTCAGTCACTGACAAGCCTCTACGTCCTGTGTTGCCTGACATAGCACACAATCGGGCGATTGAAGACTGGCCTTGTCGTTCTTTGTGACAATGAAGCAACTTTGTTATCAGATTTCTCACCAGAATAGCACAACCCTCACATGAATGGGTTCAGTCAGACCCTATGATTTGTCCGTGTGCTCTACATGTGATTTTGCTGGTGCAATTAAATCATGCCACTTGCGGAATACATTATGTGGATCATACTTCCTCTTCAGCTTCTGTAATCGAGGCAGGTTAGGACCGAACAGTTTCTCGGCACTAATGTCATGTCCTGCAGACATTAGCAAGAGAGCTCTTTATGCACAGCTTTATCATAGCTACTTACCGGCAAGATTGGGACAGGCAACACCATGATCATCAGGAATGCCTGGCTGCGTTTCCAATATTTTGGAGATAATGTTCCGCTGAAGAGCATGCATCTTCCCATCCAGCTCAGAGTCATGCCAACTTAATAAGAGCTTGGCGCTGTAATAAGACCCTCGATTGGCACACGCGGTTTCTTCAACAGGAATCTCCACAGTTTTTTTGTATGGTAAAATATCGAACATCAACACGCTGTCTTCCATACGAGGGTACGCATTCATAGCCTCAGCGAGCTGAATGTAAAGATCTTGCAAAAGGCTTGTCTCGAGCGGTCGCATGATGTTTGCACCACTGATGCTTTTGCGGCCTTCTGGCACCGTGTCGACATTAGCGAATGAATTCATCTCTACATACGTCCTCATGCCAGTATGGTTGGTCAGAGGGCTCATCAGAGGGTTCTGATATAGGATGGGGCCAAAAAATATTCCGCCTTGATACGCAGACCCGTCGTAGAAAACCACGGCCCGCAATACCATTTGCTTTTCGACTCGTGAATATGCGAATCCAAAGTAGAAGCCACTGTTCGGATCCTGACGTCTATCGAACTCGTTCGCAAAATCGACAAGCATTGGTAGCCTATCCACATCGTACTCTATCACCCCTCCGAAAAACTCGTCTCGGACTTTATGGGCACGGAATACAAACTCAGTAGCAATGCCAAATGCTTGTCCTGCTCCGCGCATCGCCCAGAATAGGTCCTGGTTATTCTCGTTTGATGCTTCAACAATGGTGCCATCGGCCAGGACCACCTTGACACCCACCAGCTGGTCTGAAATCAGACCGTACTGCCCTGTTAGCCATCCGGAGCCACCTCCTAATGTTGAGCCGCCCACCCCAGCGTGGCTGGTCATGGCGCCTACCACAGCTAGCCCGTAAGGAGCAGTTGAATCATTGACCATATCCCAGGTCGCGCCTCCCTGGACGCACACCGTCTCAGAGGCAGGGTCTGTCAAGACCTTGCGCATCTTAGCTAAGCTGATTACCACACCCCCATGCGAAGAAGATGCCCCAGTGGTGGAGTGTCCACCAGCCTCGACCACGAAGTCGATGTGGTTCTTCCGGCAGAAGCGGACCACCTCAGCAACCTCTGCTGTGCTTGCTACGCGTACAACGGCACCCTGCGCTTGGTCAGAACAGTATTCAAGCGATCCGGAGGAGAGAGAAAGTAGTCACATACAGCTTCTTTTTCGCAGGTGTCACTCCATCGGCGAATGCTTGTCGCATAATCATCGCACCCGATACAGATAACCTCAGCTCTGGTTCCTTGCAATTGCCTCCTCAGTTCTAGCGCACGGGCATATGACAGGAAAGGCATGACTGAGAAATTGGTTACACGAACTCGGTTGGTTCACCGTGGAAATCATCAAATCGACAAGAGATTTGTAGCCCCGACCATACAGCAGGAGATGGGAACCGACTTATCTGCATATTCTGTCAAGTGCCAACAGACGGTCGCTGTTTCGCTGGTAGATGAGAAGACCTACATAGGTGACATGGAAACGTCTCCAAGCTGGCCACTAGGACGTTCAAATCTTCTACGGTCGTGCAAGGTATCAACTGCTTGACGCAAATCATACGATTTGACGGCTTTTTCATGCCGCACCCCCGACGTTCCATTAGACGTGGCTGATTCCGCCATGGATGGCTCTGCCTAGATCACGAACTGCACAACTTAAAGTTTCCCCAACCACGGGCCCTTCCCACACGTGGAGTGATCTGCTAGATAGCTCTCCTGGGCTGACGAAAATGGAAGACGCCTTCCGGCCAATAGTCATAAATACCATCCTTTGGGTGCACCGATTATGCTGTTTGTACTCCGGTTTCTCGTGATACTGCATCCCATCTCATGACAGTCGGTTCATCGTGATGATATCATGACACTGTGGCTTCTGAGCACTCCAAAGTATTGCAACCACTTCCCACTGAAATCCAAACCTGCTCAGTACATAGTCTACGATTGTACAGGTTACTCTCACACAGTTAGTTAGTTTACTTGTATCTTTTTATAACATCGAACAACAACGACTGAAGATAAGAAGTAATCAATATTTTCAAGATGAACCGCGGAAACGGATTGAAGCGGGACCCAAAAACCACGCAGGCCTGGCTCATAGGCAGTGGAATATCATCACTGGCCGGTGCAGTCCACCTCATTCACGATGCGGGTGTTCCTGCAGCCAATATCCATATCCTTGACGTGCACTCCCACGCAGGTGGCGGCATCAAAAGTTGCGGCGACGCAGAGAACGGTTACGTTCTGTACACTGGAAGCCTGCCTTACTTCCATGATCGATGTGTAGAGCACCTTCTTTCCCTTGTTCCCAGCACCGATAATCCAAAGCAGTCACTCCTTGATAGCATTAAGGAGTTGGACCGGGCAACCTCTCCCAAAAGGGCAGCGCCAACACGTCTCATAAAACATGGAGATAAAGGTCCAGAATGCCTCCACTCCAAGAATCTCCAGATTGGACCGAAGTACCGAATGGAACTGATCAAATTAATGCTTGAAAATGAGCGTATGCTCGGAGAGAAAGCCATACAGGACGTCTTCGATGAAGCATTTTTCAAGACTAACTTCTGGACGCTATGGTCTACTACGTAGGTTGATACTGCGATTTCTCACTGTTACAAAGCTGATGGTATACAGCTTCGCTATGCAGCCATGGCACAGCCTGGCAGAGTTCAGAAGATGTCTATGTAAACATCTGGCAGAAATCGAACGCCTGAATGACGTGAAGGCTTTGGATCGAACCAAGTATACAATCTACGAGTCAGTTGTTATGCCAATCGAATCATATCTGAAATCACAGGGAGTCGACTTCCACTTCAACGCAAAGGTCACGAGCCTGCAAATGAACCCGAAAGAGGCCCAGACTACCGTCTCCGGAATCACCCTCAAAGATAACGGCGAACAGAAGACCATCGACGTGAGGCCCGAGGACCTTGTCATGGTTACCCTTGGATCAACAACTTCTGCAACTGAGAGGGGATCAAACGACAAGGCCCCGAATCCTGTACCCCAGCATAGCAAAGAGTTCCTGGATGATGACTGGGGCCTTTGGATCGACCTGATGCAGGCCTCTACGGATTATGGAAACCCGTTCAACTTCCACAACAACGTTGACCAGTCGACTCTGGAGTCTTTCACGGTTACCCTCCGCAAGAGCGACTTTATGGATCGCTACGAGAAACTAACCAACAACAAACCTGGCACGGGGGCTCTGCTTTCCTTCTCAGACAGCAACTGGGGCCTGAGTATCAGCGTTCCGCGTCAGCCCGTGTGCTCTGACCAGCCCTCCTCCGTCGATGTATTCTGGGGCTATGGATTACACCCTGAGAAGACTGGAAACTTTGTCCATAAGCCCATGTGTCATTGCTCCGGCAAGGAGATTTTAACAGAGGTGCTATCCCAGCTAGGAATGCCAGTGGATGACATACTCCCGGACTCGATCACAAAGCCTGTTCTGATGCCCATGGCCACGGCACCACTGATGCCCCGTCGTCATGACTTCCGCCCTGAAGTCATGCCTTCCGAGAGCAAGAACTTGGCCTTGGTGGGACAGTACGTTGAGATTCAGGAGGATACGACTTTGAGTATGGAGTATAGCGTGCGCGGCGCTCAGATGGCCGTGTTCTCGGCTATGAAACTGAACAAGCATCCTCCTAAAATTGAAAGGCACCTTTTGTTATCTGTTTTTGATTTGCTCGGAGGTGCTTAGTCGATACCATCAAAATTAGGATCAGTGAAGTACTTCTCTATCGCTGTAGTGCTTCATCATTACTGCGAACTCTGTACCCAAGCAAACTGTATTATGTCTGTCATTGCAAATATCGCTCAATATCCCATGCTCCTACTTAATGTGACATAACACCAGACTGACCAAATACCAATCCCATTACCAATCAAACCCCTCCCTTTCTACCATTTATCATCCTCATCCCACACCTCCTCCGCAAATGAACACCTCCCAGCCCTACACCCCTCACATAGATCCCTATTATGCGGCTTGGTCCTCTTCCTCTCATCATACACAGGCCTCTCCACATCAACCCCATACCACTTCTTCATGCGATACGCGATCCTCTCCGCATAGCTATCTTCATCCAAAAACGGCCGACTGAGCGAATTACACTTCTTACAGCGCTGATGATACACCCGTGCATTGTACTCGTCGTCTGTGTACAGCCGGATCGTGATGGCGATCTTCTTGCTCGTCCACCCGGTTGACGTGCACGAGTCATTCGAGCAAACGAACCGGCCCATGATGTTCGTGTCGTATTCTTTTTTGCTGCTGCTGGCGTCGTCGAAGGGGTGGAAGGTTAGCGAGGTAATTGGGAGGGAGGAGCTCAGGTGGTTGAGGACGTCGCTGTGAAGGGCTGGGTACATGGACCAGCGGTTGCGGGGGAGGTTGGATTTGGGGTTGGATCTGGATTTTCGGGAGGGCATGTTGGATAGGTGTAGCTTTTGGTGAGTGTGTGGAGGTGATGGCTGCTGACGGGATTCTTGAAGGGGATATCCAGGTTGATTGTATGTATTGGCAGGCTCAGGCAGAAGCGGGGTGAATTGGGTAGTTGTGAGAAGGCATGGAATGTGCTTGAATCGCATGGGTGTTCCACCTATAGGCATCTCTCTCCGGCTGTAGTACCGGGGTAGCTAGGTTTCGCATATGATTGGCTTGATCATAGTATTTTTTCGTCCAATTTAGATGAATAATACCATGTGACTGTATAGGACAGTGATGTATAACATATGGCAGGCGTTACTGTTCACATAATCACATATTAGGTATACTGAAGCATCTTAGGATAGTATACTATCTCCATTGAGTTGGCTCTCGCCGATGACACTGTCACCGGTTATGCCTTGTGGAGAGTGGCCTGAGCAATGTTTAGATAATAAGAGCTATCAGTCTTGCCCATACCACGGCAAGTTCTATGCAAATAAAGCTGGTGATGTGCATGAAGCAATTGAGACCCTAAAGTGAAATATATCCAATGGCACTATATCCCATAAGGGTTTCTTCCTGAGGCATAAGCATAGACCCACCATCCACATCAGTCCATATCCGGACTAGCCCCTAGCTACAGAGCAGTCACGTGCCTCCGATCAGCAATGCGATCATCCGTCACCATCACTCCATTATCAAACAACAATACACCTTCAACTCAACCTGCCCTCCGGCAGCGGACCACAACCATGGCCGACTCCTTCAGCCTCCCTCTGCGCCCGCTCACGGAGAAGCCCGATCGCCCCGACACCCTCCCAATCGAGATCGCTCAAATCAACGCCCGATGGGGATCCTTCCGCGACGTGAACGAGGAGACACTGCTTGCCAAGATCGAAGAGGACAAGAACAGGGACCCATGGGAAGAGGAAGATGAGGAAGATAAACCTGCCGAGGATGTGGACTCGACCGAGCGTCTGGAAACATTGTACAAGCGGCGGGCCGAGATCTTGCAGTTCGCTATGTAAGTAGGTGTCTGCTGTTGACAATAAGTGGGCAATGGAGCTAATTGGTTTGCTGCGAGTGAAGGCAGGCGCATATGGAAGCTCTGTTCGCTTTGGATTTTGTTTCGCTTTTGCTTTCGAAGCACACCCCTCGTCAGGCGGAGACTTCTATGTCGACGTTCTTGAAGCAGGTTGCGCCGCTGGGGTCCTTGAATGCGGAGATCGTGGAGCCGCCGCCGAAGTCGGAAGCCGCTGTGCAGGATGTTAAGACCGTTTCGCGGGGCTGGAGGGCGCAGAACTTCAATGCTGCTGCGAATAAATTGCTCAATTCGGCGACGCGGTTGGAAGAAGAGGTCACTTCGGAGACGAAGTACTGGGGTGAGGTGCTGGCGGTTAAGGAGAAGGGATGGAAGGTCTGCAGGTTGCCTCGCGAGAGAACTGCGCTGGGAGTACAATATGGGTTTCTGGAAGGTAGGATTGTTACATGCTTTTGCTGGTTTGATGCTGACGGTTTCTATAGCTACGCCTATATTCCGCGACCGGGGTCTTGCTGCTCTACGGAGGGCTGATAATGGAAGCTTAATACTGGATAAGGGACTGGCGCCGCAGAAGACGAGGACGGTTCGAGTGCGTGTGAAACACCGCGGCCAAATTACGGGATGCTCGAAGATGCCGGATCCGATCCCCGATGCGGCTTCGGTTGAGCGCACGATCTTGCAAGCACGCGACACAGTGTACGAGGAGGAGCTATTCCACGAACTGATGCGCGAAGCACGTATCATGGGTAGTCATGGTGTAACGACTCGGCAAAACTTGGTCCGTGTACCGATCTCCGAAGAGCAAGAAATCTTGCTAGATCTGGTAGATGCCGACCGTGAAACGCCCGACGAAGACAAGATCGAGTCGACTGAACACGACGTCCTTGCCAATGGGCTTTCACACTCTATTAGGATTCTGCTCGCGTATGCACACCGTCAGAACCTGCGACGCAGAACCCAACCACCGCCTCCGCTCTCCCAGAAACGTCGACATACCCCCGAGTATCAGCTCTTGCGCCCCGTCATGGCGTATCTCCAACACAGCTCGCACGTCAGATGGCTGGAGTCCTTCATGAATGATATCTACCGGGTTCTCCGCGCGGCAGGAGTCGCGCGTGATTTCCACTCCCTGCCTTTTGCGTCTGTCAGCCTCCCGAAGGTGCAGGCTGTCCCGAAGGTAGAGAGTCTGGTGCAACAGTTCCTGATGCCCTTCGAATCGACATTTTCCGGCCATTTGATCACCCCTCAGAGCTCTTTCCGCGTGAAAATCCGTACCAATCCCGTATCACCGCCTTTTGGCACCCACTACGACATTTCCATAGACCTTCCTCACCATCCCGAAGTGCAGCCTCCCGGTCGGATTGGGTTGCAGAATGAAGCAGCCGCAGCTCTCATGCATTTCGTGAAGCTGGACATCGTGTCGGCCATCGCGCTTCAAGGCTCGAAGACGGCTAAAAACACTAAGAAAGAGGGCGCCGAGGGAGATAAGCAATTGACCTGGGAGGCGGCATACCCACACCACGGTGAACTGCTGGCATTGTCGAATACTGGCCAAAGTAAGAAGCTGACGATTAGCTTGTCACGGGAGGAATTGAAGGTGGAAACATTTCCGCTTCGAGGGCTTGAAGGGTTTGGCCGATCCGGCGCCACCAAGGCACCGAGTTTACATTCCCAGACATGGACATCGGACCAGACAGCTTCTAAGCCTGGCTTGATGGAGTTTGTGGCTGAGGTGTCACGGGAGCAGTCATAAGCAGCTGCCGTCCCGTATGCTGAGCACGTAGGAATATCCCTCAAGATAGAATCGGAGCATGTGTGGCGAACTCCTGGATAGATAGGTGTTTTATGTATTGATACCCATGACAAAATATTCCAATAACTGGCATAAATATGTGAATGGTCCAAACTTCTCCACGAAACTTACCTGCCTGTAAATAGCCTGGATGACCGCCTAAGGGATTCGCAGGCGCGGGACGACGGGATGCTTTCACGTGGTGCATTAGTCTGAACCCATATGCATTGTTCCGGTCATTAGTCCGCAGCCACATACACTCTCCCATCCTCCTTATCAGCGTTATGGAGACATTCACCCAGTCTCATATAACTCTGTTCTTTCTTACTTCCAGATGGCATCGCTCTTGAGGTTGGTCAGAAACTCTTTTCACAGGGCTCCATCCCGTCCCCTGTGTTTCCCGACCAGCGGATGGGACACAATCCCTGCGGCGGAGATACTTGACGAAGAGCGATTCGATGGATTCAAGAAGGGGCAATATTATCCCGTGAATATCGGTGATGTTTTTGCTTCCAAATACCAAGTCATTGGCAAGCTGGGATTTGGCGTCACTTCAACTGCATGGCTTGCCCGAGATCTCGAGTAAGTCTTATCTACCGAGCAGTTCTGATCTGTCTACCAAGACATGGAACATTAATACAGCCAGGGGCCATCGATATGTGACCTTGAAAGTTTACACTCGGGATGAAGACAACGCAGAAGAGTTCCGAATCTATAATCACCTCAAAGAGCACAAGTCATCCCACCCTGGCTATGCGCACGTGAGGACAGCTCTTGATCTATTCACCATTCCTCGCAATGGCGGCGATCATCACTGTCTCGTCCAGCAGCCCATGTGGGAGAGCTTTCGTCATCTACTTTATCGAAATCCCACACATCGCTTTACCGAAGATTTGCTCAAAGCCGGTCTCATGCAGATTTTCCTTGCACTAGACTACCTGCACACTGAATGCAAGCTTGTCCATACAGGTACACCAGCCCTGTTATTAACAAGATGAATAACTGATGGCTGAAAAAGATATCAAGAGCGATAACATTCTGCAAGAAATTGCAGACAGCTCAATCCTCGAAGCCTTCACCAAAGCTGAAATGGACAGCCCCTCACCCCGTAAATTCGTTAATAGCGCACCAATATATGCTTCGCGTCGTTTTGAATTACCCAAAGTCTTTGGACGCGCAGTCTTGAGTGACTTTGGATCTGCAGTACGAGGTGATGAGAAACAAGATCACGATGCCCAGCCGAATGTGTACAGATCGCCGGAGGTGATGTTGATGACTGAGTGGAGCTATCCCGTTGATATTTGGAATGTGGGTGTTATGGTATGCTATGTTCTCCTTACTTACCATTGTTGTCGTGCGGGTACTAACACGAATTGACTAGATTTGGGATCTATTCGAGGGCAAGCATATGTTCTATGGAAATGACCCCGACGGGAAAGGGTACTCTACCCGTGCGCATCTGGCAGAGGTGATCGGTCTCATAGGACCTCCCCCGTCATGTATGCTCAAGCGTGGAAAACGAAGTCATGAATTCTTTACTGAAGACGGTATGTCACAATTGCTTACTTTAAGTTGCCAAACATGAAAGACTCACTGAAGACCGAGCAGGGAAATGGAAACAATGCATAGCCATACAGCAGACAGGGGGGCTAGAGGCGTCAGAACAGTTTCTCGAAGGCAGAAATAAGGAGATGTTTCTGGATTTCATGAGAGAATGCTCGAGTGGCGTCCAGAAGATAGAAAGACGGCAAAGGAGCTTCTCAAAGATCCCTGGCTAAATGAACAGATAGAGTAATGTACACTTTGTGTCAGATGGGGGAAATATCAACCCTGAAACAACCCGACAGTGCCGACACACCCGAACACTAGCGTTTCACCTCCTTATCAACCTGATAAGAGCATCACCACTACTATTTATATTTCCGCAATAGCCGATAGATTGATCCAGATTACCTCGGAAGTATATCCCTTGGATATCTGTATATTAATCCCTCATCCTCATCCCTTTTCGCCTATCATGTCCATACAGACGGAATGTGTATATGCCTCAACGATGGTGCAACATGTCTGTGCTCTGATAGTATTGACGAATGGGATGTGCCGGACGCAGAGATTATGCGCTGTAGGGTCAGTGTCATGGGTATAGATCGATCCATATCATGCAATCT